TTAATCACCAGTTTGCCATGGCGTTTCTTGATGATGTCCTGGTGTATTCGGAGACCGTAGAGGATCACCTTGAGCATGTTCGAGAGGTGTTGAAGCGGATAAGTTCGGCACCGCTGACCATTAACCCAGAGAAGGTGCACGTGTGCTGTCAATACCTGAAGTTCCTTGGCCATGAAATATCGCCCGGGCAGTGTAGGCTGGACAAGGAAAAAGTGCGAGCGGTGCTGTACTATCCTCAACCAACAACAATCAAACAGCTGCAGGCCTTCCTGGGACTAGCAGGCTATTACAGAGGGTTCATACCTCAGTTTTCTATCACTGCACGTCCACTCACAGAACTCCTTAAGAAAAACCAACGTTGGCGGTGGGAGCTGCAGCAAGAGGAAGCCTTTAGAGCACTTAAGCAGTCCCTGGCCGACGATGTTGTTGTAAACTTGCCGGACCTCAACAGACCATTCGTGGTGGAAACAGACGCCAGTGGAGTTGGCATTGCAGCGGTGCTTCTGCAGGCAGCCGAGAGTGATGCTCAACTGCATCCAATAAGCTTCATTAGCAGGGTCCTCACTGAGGCAGAGCAGCGCTATACAGTGCAAGAATGGGAGTGTCTGGCTGTGGTGTGGGCAGTGGACACCTTGGTCCTGCGACTGTCCCATGACCACCCGATTAGCGGCCACTCCGGCTTTTTCAAGACCCTCAGACGCATTTCTCAGAATTTCGTGTGGCTGGGTATGCGCTCGAACATAGCCAAGTACCGTATTTACACGATTGTAAGACGACTCGAATGTAAGACGACCCCCCCAAAATCGCATATCAAAAAAAAAAAAAAAAAAAAAAGAACTCGTGCATTTTACACAAGGGAAATTTATTCACGTGGTTGCGGAGGATTATTCATCGTCGCTGGAGTCGTCCTCGCTGGTGCTGCTGCCGTCATTGCTGCTGCAGTCCCACAGCACGTCGTCGTCAAGTGTGAGTAGGCCGCAAGCTTCGCCTCTAGTTCCGAAAAGCGGCCAGACTTCGGCCCGCGAAAGCCACGGCGCTTGGAGTCGCACGAGAAAATTTCCTCGCGCTGAAGCCGCCACTTTCGCACCACACATTCACCGATTCCGAACTTCCGTCCTGCTGCACAGTTGTTGGTTTCCTCCACATGAAGAATAGCAGCCCGCTTAAACGCTGCCGTAAACGAGCGCCGAGTGTTCTTCGAGCCTACGGCACTCATGTCAGACAGAAGTGACTCGAGAGAGCCGGTCGTGGACACAAGCGACAGGAGCACGCGGCGATGCGCCCGCTTAGAAAATTGTATCACAAAGAGGAGCTCTTCCGTCAACTACCAGTACCCCCCTACGGCGGCTCTTCCATCGATTACCGGTGCTCCCTCAAGGGCCGTGCGCTCGTCATAAAGGCACTCGTAATGCGCGCAGTAGATGCTAAAAAAAGAAAAGCTTTTGTATAAGCACGCGGAAAACTATGCGCTTTGGGTTGAGCGGGAAACTATTCGAGATGACAATACATGGTTCGATTTCGATTCTAAGGTACATGGTTCGATTTCGATTCTAAGACGACCCCCCAACATTGGATTGTCAAATTTGAAAAAAAGGGTCGTCTTACAATCGTGTAAATACGGTATGTGCGATGCTGCCAGGTTTGTCAGTGCACCAAAGCCCACCGGCAGAAGCCAGAAGGGCTGATGAGCAGTCAATGGGCCACTGCCCCCATGGAACAGCTCAGCGTAGACATAATTGGGCCCTTGCCTATGACGCCTCGACGCCGCAAGTACCTTCTAGTGGTGATTGACAAGTTCACCAAGTTCATTGAACTTTTCCCATTACGGGCAGCAAACAGCAAGAGTGTGGTGGCCTGCATGATCCAGGTTTTTTGCAGACATGGCCCACCTGTCTCCATTTCAAGTGATAATGGAAAGCCGTTTGTAAGCAGGTTGTGGAAGGGCCTCCTTGAGCATTGGGGCATACAAGACCGACACACTGTTTCGTACCGCCCTGCCGGACAAATGGTGGAGCGCCACAATGGCATTATCAAGCAGTGCCTTAGGGCTTATTGTTCCAACCACAAAGACTGGGACCAGCACATCCCTGAAATAGCCCTGGCCATGCGCACGGCTGAAAGCGTTGTCACGGGCTACACGCCTGCCTTCCTCTGTTATGGCCGGGAGCTGAGAACCCCATGGACACAGGCTGAGGCCAAAGACGACGCGGAGCCTCCTGCGACAGCATACCGTGCATTTGCTACCGAGGTCTCCAAGTGTCTGCAGGAGGTGCTTGACTTCTCCAGGACACACCAAAACCACATGTGGCGCGCCCAGAAGACTCGCTACGACCAGCACAGGCGGCCACTGACAATACAGGAGGGTGATCTTGTTCTGCTCGAAAGCCACTCCCTCAGCGATGCCACCAAGGGCTTCTCCTCGAAGCTTGCACCCAGGTGTTCCGGTCCCTTTCGGGCAGTGAGACGTGTAGGACAGAATGACTTTGTTCTAGTGGACCCCAAAACGGGTCGTCGCCACGGTGTGAGACACGCAGATCAGCTGACACTCTACCATGACGCTGCAGGCGATGTGTAGTGGTGGCTTCACATTTTGAGGGGGGGGGGACCTGTGAGGGTGGCCGAGAGAGGGCGTTACGTGACGGCGTCATCATCATCATCGGGACTTGGCGGAGAGAGGGCACTACGTGACGGCGTCATCATCATTATTGGGACGAGAGTGCTGGGGGTTGCGTGTGTGGGGAAGGGGAGTTCGGCCTGGTTGACAAGGAGTGGCAAGACGTAGCGGTGTGTGGTGTGGGATTTAGGATTAGCGCGTGACAGTGTCAAGTATATCGTTTTCTGCGGAGTTTGACGCTCGCTCGGCGTGGCTCTTTCAAAAATACCGCGCTGACCTTATAGCCACGTTACACATGGCCGAGAGATCCCTCCTCCTCACAAGCCAGCAAAGAGGATTGAGGAAGCGCTCAGCGGGTCACGTGACCTAGAAGCAGCCGCACAGTGCAAAGCGATTCCCCCCTCACTGATAAGAACACACGATGGGGAAGCTTCAGAAGACTTATATTTATTCAAAAATCAGAGGGCATTCGTCATTAATTGAAGTAATTGGTGACGCCTCTGCAGACGTTTACCTTGCAGCGAATCAATAAATTTCACACGTAGTTTGCAAATCACAGTAGCGCGCGGCTAAGTCCAGCGCCAACACTCTCTAAAGACGACGGCAATGACAGCGTCTCCGCTGCTGCCCTCTGCACCGAGAAAGAAGGACTCTCCATGACAACTTTTTTTTTTCCCTCTTTCTCCGCGCTCAGCCTTGAAAGGAGAAGAGTCTCTACGTGTGCAGAGACGGGAAAGAAAGAAGCGTGGCACAGGCGTGTCGCAGATCAGCATTTGAGAGCGAGCAAACAATCCACCACAGTCTTTTCTTTTCTTTTTTTTTTTTCCTTCTTCGAGCGCAGCATTGAGAGGTGCTGCCGCGGGATTAGACATGGTGCTGAGAGCATTTTCGGAGCCCGTTATGTTCGAATTAACCGTCGCAAGGGCTTGTACGCTCGAATTACAAGGCATTTTTGCCCATTGAAACACACATAACTTTGACGAAAGCACAGTGAGAGTTCGAATTACATGGAAGTTAGAATTAAGCGTGTTTGAATTAATGAGATTCGACTATTTATATTCCGTCACACTCGTGGTACGTAGCGGTACATCAGGCTGCGAGGCGGTTTCCTTTTTTGCATGCTTATAGGTGTGCACCCATCTGAGCATACATTTCCACAAACTGTTATAATCGATATAATGAAATAATGGATATAACGAAATAATTGTGGCTTCCCTTAAACTTCGTTATAACGAGGTTTGAGTGTAGATCCTAATGTTCGTGTAACGTCAATTGTGGTTGCAGTGCTGGCCATCCAATTTTAAGAACATTACATATGTACTTCTATGATACAGCCATCACGTTGGGTTAACGTCAATGGTACCGTCATTGGTGCCATGCGCTGAAGTTAATTAGTGCAGCAGTGGTGAGGGCTACCATCCTCGCGCACACCAGTGCAAACCCAGCACTTCATATCACCTTACCACTTCTGGTGTTGCTAATATCCATGTTGCTCTTGGCATCGTTACACAACTGGTCAACATATGTGTGTGCTGTAAAAAGCAAACAAAACACATTCCCCTTCCAACCATAGTGACACGTGCGGTTCTTTTGGTTTACGAAGAAAGCCGCTATTACTTTCTGTTAAGCGCAACGCAGGCCGCGTTTATCTTGTATGCCACTCTGGAACGCGTTATGACGCGTGTATAAAAGACTGACACGTGCGGTTCGTTTGGTTTACGAAGGAAGCCGCTATCACTTTCTGTTAAGCGCAACGCAGGCCGCGTTTATCTTGTATGCCACTCTGGAACGCGTTACGACGCGTGTATAAAAGCCGGCGCAGTGCGCCACTGGGGAGTCTTTTTTCCGTCGGCCGACGACTGTTCACGCCGCTGTTGCTGTGAGTTGTGTTTGGCCCTGTTTTGCTGGGCACAAGTTCGCCCAATAAACAGTTCGCCTGACACCGCCCTGACTCCTGCGTGCTTCCTCTCAAGTGCTGCGTGTATCACAACCTCGTGACATCTGGATGTCATGAGGTTGTGATACACGCAGACTCCCCAGTGGCGCACTGCGCCGGCTTTTATACACGCGTCGTAACGCGTTCCAGAGTGGCATACAAGATAAACGCGGCCTGCGTTGCGCTTAACAGAAAGTGATAGCGGCTTCCTTCGTAAACCAAAAGAACCGCACGTGTCAGTCTTTTATACACGCGTCATAACGCGTTCCAGAGTGGCATACAAGATAAACGCGGCCTGCGTTGCGCTTAACAGAAAGTGATAGCGGCTTTCTTCGTAAACCAAAAGAACCGCACGTGTCAATATGCTTCGCATAACATCAATTCTCAAGGTACATGAGATCGTTTTTGTCAAGTTGTAACCGAGTACTATAGCCTGAAGTGCCCACTCACCTGCCGGCAGCGTGAGCAGCAGCCGCACGCAGCCAGGGCATGCGCTGACCCAGGACCTCCTTGCCCCAGGCGTACAGGCCCCAGATGGCCTCGGGGCAGTGCAGCTGCACCAGCGAGGTGGCCACATCACGAACCACCGCTCCCAAGCCCTGCACGGAAGGACAAGGGTTACGAGGGATTTCGCATACACCAGGCCTCTAAATCACGTGGTCCGCAGACCTTTCCCGAGCAGCCTAGCCCGCACATCACTGTCTGTCTCATATTTTTCTTTTTTTTTCGTAATACTATGTTCATTACCTACGCAGACCTTACTATACTCTGCGACAACTTATATTGACATTTTAGCAAAGGCTACGGAGGCCGGTCTCATGCACATTTGTGTTGCTCCAGAAGTAGTACGGCAGCTTATCTGAATTTATAACCCTAGAATAACCTTGGCATGCTATCATAAACTCTTATCCCCGTATTCTAGAACGTCCCTTCACTCAACGCTTCACCTTCACTTGAGAAAGCCGATGGAAGCGTCGTCTCTAGTCATGGCAAGTCACTGCATATCAGCAATAATCTGCTGCGATTCTCGAGTAGCGCAGCGCCATTTTCAGCCGAGCGGCGGCGCAGTGCTCAACTCTGTCAAGTGAAGGGTGAAAGTCGAGTCGAGGAGCATTTGTGAATACGGGGGTTAGTGCCGGGCCAAATGACATCTGCCCCAGTCATGCAGCCAACTCTGAATTGCGATCCAGCTTGTTGGAAAGCAAACTTCATGTCCTCGACTGGCTTGTTCATGGGCTGTAGAAGCAAGCTAACATAGACTATGAAATTCGGTGGCTATTGAAAGTTAACTAGGTGACGGAGCGTTTGTTGTATTCAAAATGCAACAAACGTAGACATAGGAGAAAAAAACCACACAGGACAGGCACTAATCCAATGCGATTCGACACAACTTCGTACCTGTTCTGTGTGGTTCTCTCCTCTTCTGTCTACGTTTCTTGCACTATGACCACAATGAATCCTCACCAACTGGCCCAATTCGCAATGACTGGGTATTATGCCCCCATGAAAGATTACAAAAATGCTTCAACGGTTCTTCAGGCCTGTGCATTGACAGTAGTGCCACACAACCAAGGGTTACTAGTACACAAACGACAGCCATAGAATGCTTCTATAAAAGAGTACCATGCTGCCAGATTTAGCAATGCAAGATAACAAAGTCTACACTATGCACTTAACCGTTCAGTACCATGCAGTTCTGGCTTTTGCATCATTCGAATTCTTGACTACCCGTGTTTGTACTTTCTACATGAGTGGATTCATTGCGGACAGTGAAGCAAAAATATTCGGTTATAGCAACCAAATAAAAAAGGGGATGTGAAGACTCAGAGGAGAAAGATAGAGACCCCATTAGAATGGCTGCTTTCAGAAATTCCGATACACAGCTTATGAGTAAAAAATGAAGCCTCTTGTTTAGGTAATCTGCTGTAACGTTGTGCACACAAAAAAAGAAATGCTCGTACTGAATACAATCAATGTCGTACCTTTCAGATTTTCCCTCTCTACTGCCACACCTCTACTTTGTCATAGATGACAGTATTAAATAATGAAGTACAACTAAGTCAATCTGTCAAATTATTTGGCACGCATTACAGTGCCATAATATAATAGACATGAAGAAAAGAACAAAATTTCAGCCAGTTTTACAGCACCAAAACTGCTGGACAGCAAAGCTGTAAGTGCGAAAGTTTATGAAATTGTCTAGAGTGATCAGTCGCGTGCATCCTCATCATAGTCATTTAGCATCACTGTCATAATTTATCCTAATCATTACGAGCCTTATCACCTTGAGCACCCAAGCGGAGGGGCAGCGAACATGACCCTGCATGACACTTGTAAAATAAAGACACGAGCCCTAGTCAAAGCACTCCTATGTTTATTCTACTGCTCGTCATTAAACCTCTTCTTTCTTCTCGTCCACATCTCCTTCATGTTGCCGCTCGTCTGCAATCATCAGCAACAACGTGCAGACAGCACAGGCTCGACTAAGAACAGCACTACTGCTCAGGCATCTGCTCAGTAGAGACACCTGCTGAGCAGCTACTCAACATTGTTCTTATTCTTATCGTTGGTAGGTAGATTAAGTAAGCAACATTTTGTGTGCCGGCACACGGGCTGCAGCAGACTGTCTCACCTGAGGCGCAGAGGCAGCCAGGGCCGCCGTGTGTCGCAGGGCCTCGGCGGGCCGTCCCGCGCGCAGGGCAAGGCGCACGGCTCGTGGTCGCACCCTGGCCAGCCACTCGAGGCAGGTGGCCCGGTTGGTGCGAAAGAATGTGCGCACCGCCTTGGGGGCTGCAGGCAGGCTGCCTGCACTGCCCTCGTACGCATTGTACATGCTCTTGTCGAGATGCTCCAGAAAGTCCAGAAGCAGCTGTGCCCTGCACGCACACACACACACACACACAGGTGCATGATGTACTCGCAGAAGACTGAATCGAGAAGAGACTGATTAAATCACAATCAAAGCGCACGCATAGCCGCGCTCATGCAATGACAACAGAAATTCGCACCACATTCCCGCTGTACCAGTGTTAGTAGTTTGGCCACATGTGTCGTGCTTCACTGCAATATTTTACTGCCAAAGTTAGCATATTTTGGAACACTGTCGAGTATAACAGTGTGGAGGAAGCTACCATACACTCCATACTCTATATGGTACAACTCTATAATGTGAATCGGGTCAGAAAGACCAGCGTCACGCTTCAGTCCTCAACTGTATCTGTATGCATGCCTGCAGTCTACGTCAACATCCTGCTGTGCAGGCTCACCCTCCCATGGCTGATACGACGACTGCCAGCATTGACAGCAAAGCCAGCATTAAATGCAGTGACATAAAAACGTTATTGCAGATTACTCCTCAACATATCAAGGGAAAGTTCACAAGTGCATGGATCTCCTTGACTGCATGTCTACTGCACAATCATTTTTTACCCACCAATTAACATCATTTAATTTTGAAAGTTTGGAGGATCTGTCATGGCTAAAAGGACTGCCTTTCACTCTGACAAAATAAACCCTGAGAGTAATGTCACACAGCAAGTACTGTGTCGACAGCACAGCAGCCCAGAACACACCTCTTGAGAGAAGGGATACCCGTGGGCGAGGGATCAGCAAGCAGGGCCTTGAGGGCCCCTTCAATCGAGGTGAACGTCTCCTGGGGTTTGCCCAGAGGAGTGCGGAGCTTCAGGTGCACGCAAATTTGCGCAGACTCCCACAAGGCCCAGCACCAGAGGGCGCCTGCGTGGTGACCCGAGGCCAGCCTAGCCGGTGCCAGCCGCTCCAGGCGCAACTGCACAGGTACGAAATGGGGCTCCAATGAACACGCACCAAACCTTTAAGGGGCAACCGTAACCAAATTTCACTTTGGCTGACCGAATTGCACAAGTACTATAAACCAAACTGAAGTGTGGTACTAAACCACACTGACAGGCCATAGGGCTTTTAATGGCAACGCTTCCGTGTCAGCAGCCCGGTACCATGACTTACTGACAGTACCTATACAGAAAATGCAGTAAGCTGTGGTTAGGCACGGCTTTGAAAAGTAACAACATTTCTATTTCAATCACATGCCCGAACAAATTAGTGCACACAATAGCCTGCAACTCCACAATCCGGCTGGTGAGCGGAACTATTTACACTCAAAACTCGATATAACGAACCCGGATATAACGAAATATCGGTTATAGCAAAGTAAATGTATAGCCTTGCATAGATAGTGTTGGAATATAGCTTTATAAAAAATTTTCGGATATAACAAACATACTTTCCTGTAAGGCAAGATGCAATTTTGTTATAACGAGGTTTGAGTGTATTTAGTAATGAAGGCCATTGGTGACACTGCTTTGGTTATCTGGGCCGGCCCTCTCTTGCCTTCCCGAGTTGTATCCAACTAAAGTGGCTGTCGCCATGACATACGCCCAACATCTATAACATGCTTCAGCACCTTCTTACATTAGGGGTCACGGTAAAGAGTCACGCATTCCAAGTTACATCGTTGACGTGTGCCACCTGGCTTTTTTTTTATTTGTCAGGTTAGCTATCAAAGGAGAAAATTTCTTCCATTTCTTCACGACAGTGTCACTCGCGTTTCAAACTTTGATTTTCACACAGGGGCTGCAAGAGATAATGATAATAATAATAATGATAACTGTCTTCCGTACAAACAGGAGGAAAGGCACCCCAGACCAAAAGCTACAAAACTGTAGCTTGAGTGCGGCTGCGGGTCGACAAAAATACATTCATCTAACGTACATGGTGTCACTCTATGACACATATCATTGGCAACGTGCACCAGTGAACGCTTTTACAATGAAATGACCAGCGTAACAATTTCTTACATCTTATTTATATTTTAGGCGTAACAACACATGACCCTTACAGCAAACTGACTTGTATGACTGAATATCTTAAAGATCCGAAGCAATATGTTGCAAAGGCACGTGACTAAAGACATCTACAAAACAACCACATTATACAGCCAGCTTCATCACCGATTATTATTCAGCGGTTTGCCTACCTCGCAGGCGTCGATGTTGCCACCACCAGGTGGCGGTAGTAGCAATGCAGACATGACCGTGCGGAAGCCTTGCACAGTCAGGATGATGCCCGGGGCAGACAAGATGGCCGTGCGCTGCAACGCTTGCTCCTGTAGCTCGGGTGAGCTCAGCAGCGCCTCACTGCAAAGTGGCAGAGGACACTGTAGGCTGCAACTGACGTGCAATTCAGTCCTAGTCAGACCTATCTACAAATGGTTAGCAGTGGCTCCCAGCAAGCACGCCTTTGATGTTAGACAAACATTTTTTTTCACAATACAATCGACACTCCATTTTTCTTTTCTGTCATGGTGACATTTATTAAACCTTACTGTGAATAATTGGGTCATGCTGTGAAGTAATAATTTTGCTATTCAATTAAGTGGCAGAAAGATTTGGTGAGTATAGTTTCCAAATGTAATCACCGAAAATTCCTTATTATATCATTATATTTGCTACTCCATTACAAAGGCACTATTCACGTCTCATTGAACACCGTACGATATTTCATCCTTCCGGCTCTGAAATAGGAGCCCATTTCCCCAACAAATATTATGTTAGCAATGTCGAGATACTGTACTAGTGCTTGTACTAGTACACCTTGCATTGTGGGTAAAATTAGTCATACTGTAAGCATCCATTATGCACTTCATCCTCAACTGAGCAGAGAATGAACTCCAGAGAAAAAAAACCCTCTCAAAAACCAAGACACCATAATACATGTAAACTCTACTCAGGTAACAAACGTCAGACTTGTATTGCAATTACCGAAAATGGTACGGTACAAAGGAAAAGCAGACAGCTACCCGCCCTGACAAACCTGTGGGGAGGAGAAGAAAACAAACCTTGTAAGGAGGTCAACAGGCAGCAAGGTCATGAGGGCAATGAACTTTGACCTTTCGTTGAGGACAGCACTGCCAGCCTTGACCACGCACAGGCTGTAACACCTGCATAGGACATCATCAAACAGTGAAGAAAACGACGAGATGGTAATGAAGGCCCACGAATGGCCTAAATTAGTATGAAAACATAGACTTTCCATTAACATTCTCATAGCTTAGTGTGTAACAGATACACCACTCAAACCTCAATACAGTGGACTCCCATTAAACGAAACTCGCTTAAATGAAAAAGCCGCATAAACGAAACTATTTAGGTACATTTGGTTGGTCTCCTATATATTTAATGATAAAAAGTTTCGGGTAATCGGAATGATTTTTTTCGCTTACATCAGTTAAATGAAACTAAGCGGGCAAAATCCATGAACAGTAGAAGTGGCCACAGCAGTCTAGCAACCATGAAACAAATGCTGAAGCTAGCCTAGTCAAGCCAGTCTAGCTATTGCACATGTCCGCGCACGCCGTGCAGCAAACAATCCATCTCGTTTCCATCTTTTTTGTTTCCATCTCGTCGTGAACTTGAGATGGAAAAAAAATGGCAGCACAATGCACTTTTGCTCGCAACAAAAGTAAAAACCATTCAACAACTTGACCGCAACGACCTATCGAAGACAGAAATTGTGAAGAATTTCAATATTCCTAAGTCCACTGTTGAGAATACTCAAGAACAAAGGAAAAACTTAAGCTGTAAAGCTTGGGGACTTCACGGACAGATTGCAGATGAGAGCGGCAGTGTACAAAGAAATCGAAGATGCTCTATTTCTCTGATTCAAGCGTGCGCGCCGTGCAAACTTCCTGATCAGTGGCCCCATTTTCGCAGAGAAGGCCAAAGAGATTGCTACTCGCATGGGGATCGAGAAGTTGCGGGTGAGCGATGGCTGCCTGAGCAGTTTTAGGAAGCGGCGTGGTCTTGTCTTTAAGATAGTTTCTAGAGAAAGTGCAGCTATAAACAGATATTTGCAAGCAATATTGGCAACATTTTTCTTTCTAATCAACAATTTAAGTATTGTATATATTAAAACGATTTTGTTCAGTCAGCCACAGTTGGTGCTTTTGAAATAAAGTCATATTTCATTCATCTTTTGGGCCTTGTTTAAGTAAAACTTCTCATAAGTAAAACAAATTTTCTTGCCCCTTCGAGTTCCGTTTAAGAGGAGTCCACTGTATAAGTAACATGGATGTAACAAAATGTTGGTTATAACGAAGTACATGAAAAACAGTCTCGCAATACAGTGTTAAAACATAACATTTGTAACTTATTTTCAGATATAACGAACTTATTTTCTTGTAAGATGCCACTTTCTTATGATGTCATAGTGTACTTGTAATAGAAAGCCATGCAAAAGAAAGAAAGAGCCTCACGTGGAAAGGTATACAGAATAATAGTTAAATGCACAGTTTTATTGATGGGGACTGGTGTTGCTAAATATGTGAGACATTAATGAGAAAAGGAAAAAGACAATTCTAGCCGCTTATTTATGCCAGGGAATAAAGTGCAAGTTTAACCCCTGTGCATACTAAATAAGATTAACTTCTGGGTTTTATATGCTGCAACCATGACATTACTATGAAGCGCACAGCAGCAACGAACTCGAGGCAACTCCTCAACAACTCCACGACAGGCCACCTTTCCAAAGAAGCGACAGCGATGATGGCGAAGAGGGAAGTCTGACATTGTGATGTACCACGTAAAAATGTGCTTCAGAAAAGATTTTTTTTTTGTCTTATTGTCCACTGCTGTTGATCGGCTGCATCAGCATCACTCAACGGCAACGAGCCGGCTGACCAGCTTTGGGCCGTCCAGCAAGCCGAACATTCCGCTCGAGTCCAGAGACTTCGAGCCATCACCTGAGGCACTGCCATCATCATCGATTTTGATTAATTTGTGGGGTTTAACATTCCAAAACCACCATATGATTATGAGAGACGCCGTAGTGGAGGGCTCCGGAAATTTAGACCACCTGGGGTTTCTTTGACGTGCACCCAAATCTGAGCACACGGGCCTACAACATTTCCGCCTCCATCGGAAATGCAACCGCCACAGCCGGGATTTGATCCCGCGACCTGCGGGTCAGCAGCCGAGTACCTTATCCACTAGACCACCGTGGCGGGGCCTGCCATCATCATCGACGAAGGGTGGGGTGGGACAGGGGTTAATCCTCTCTTCCCCCTGCTGCGCCTGAAGGAAACTTCCGTACTTTATACAAAGTTTGTTCATTCATTCTTATTCTTCATATAGTGATGTCTAGTTCGAGAAAATACTTTTTGGAATCGGCAAATGCCACCACGTGCTGTAATGCCCACCTCTGCAGGATGTCTCTGGGAAGCAGGGTGCAGACAGTGTCCACCACTCGTTGCAGAATCTGGCAGGCCCTCGAGGTCACCTCGGGGTCATTGCCATAGCCTGCAGAAGCAAAGAAACAAAACAGAGAAAAAATGTTATATAGACGAAGAAGCAGGCCGAACTATGTTCTCGCAACGTCAGCACGTTATGATGTACCAATTTTTTCTGGGATTGCAAAAAAAGTTTAATAAAGGACAGTTTGGCGAACCTCCAAATGCCAGTTTCTCCAGCAATTTTTGCACTTACACTGCTGGCAGAGTTTTTGCTTGCAACGCCTACTTCAAAAATAAGTTCGAAAGCTTCAATGATCGTGTTTCCCAGCTAAAGCATATCACAAAGTTTGCCACAGTGGCCATTATTAAATTCTTTAATTTACCAGAAAGAATGAACGAATGATCGCATCATGACGTGCTGATGCAGCGAGGAGCAGATGACATGCTGCCCGCGTGTCAGAACTGTGTTGCAGTGAAGCACGCCTTGTTTTGACAGGCACGCATTTTTGTTATCACGACAGCATTTCCTTTTACAGCAAAAGCTGTTATGAGATCAAAACTCAGTGGTTATCGAGAGAACTACGGCACTGCGCATAACCTAACGCTAAATAAGAAAAAAAAAACTAATACCGAGGACACAGTGGGGCTCGAACCCGAGTCCGCTGCGTGCCAGCCCAGTGTTCTACCATTGAGTCGCAACCGGTGCTTGAGACTTGTTCGCAAATTTGCCTCAGGGAGGCTTGTTGTTGGGAAAAAAATCGCGTTAATATGAGTAATCAAGCATTTTAAAAGAGCGAAAGAACAACCAGTCATCGCACAATGCAACTACCATAACGAGTGGGTCGTGCAATGCTCCAACCCATTACAAAAGCTTGTTTTTGATCACCTACTAACTGTGGCCAATACCCCCTTAAGGCATAATTCCTCATTATCGGCCACTGCATGAACAATTGGCACCAAATTCCTTGCAGGTGTTTAGTGGATACAATGCTTCTCAGAAGAATGACGAAAAATAGTATAGCGAATGCTGGTCTACTACCCAGAAATTATTATTAATCCCGTAGTGGGTACCCAGCAAATATGCTTCCAGCAGTTACCCAATGAGTGTTTAGAAAAGGCTCTGAAAGGCTGCTCTTCTAGCTTTCACTGTGACTGTGCTGTGCCTTCCGCGCATACCTGGAGTTCTTTTTTTCCCGTGGAAGCAGCCAGGGCTACGGTTCCTCAGTGTCTGCGGCAAAGTAAAGATCAGGTATTTCGAGAAAACATAACCCTTGGAGCCGTTAACTAGCCGGAACAGCAAACGATCTGCCCCGATTACTTAGAATAATTGCAAGTTCCTTTTTTTAATTAAATGTATACAAGGAGAGGTTGGTGCCAATGCGCGGTGCCGGTTACTCCTCTTGCGCAAAAGTCGACATCGCATATTTTGTATCAAACACAAGGTTATACATATGTACACAGCACAACGCTTACACAATGAGTCCACGTTTTTCAATACTGAGTGTCCACACCACACAGAAATGTGTCTACACTACATAGAAATGTGTTCACACCACACATGCATCCCACTTTATTATTTTCTCTTAATTTTAAAGCCCACTTATTTCAAAGATTTCTTGCAGCCCCAGTAACTTTGAATTAATTAGGTGTTACTCTACTCTAGGCTCTTGAGGGCTTGGCCTCTCATTCAAGGAAAAAGAAAGGGCAACAGAACATTTTAGTGTCAGTACCTCTTCGACACCGAAGCAGATGAGGATCACTCACCGCAGTCGATGGTGGCATCGACGAGGTTGAGGAACTCGGTTGAGTTTGCCAGGTGGGGCATGTGGAGCTGAAGGCACTCGACCAACTGCAGGGACCAGTGCTGGCACAGGCCCCTGCGTTTCCAGCAGGCACATAGAAAACAAAAATTAGGGGATCCTTAAACTTTGCCTTTAAGAGCTGAATGCGATAGCTATGTCCTGTTCCTAGAGCACACTGCATTCGAAATGGCTTGTAGCTTTCACATACGGCTGTATTCTGTGTAATTCGTAGCATGCTTTAAACTACGGGCATTTGTGCCCATGAAATGTTTTCATACTTGCAATGTCTTTGCTACATGGCCTTAAGGCCAAAGGCGCAGTAATGTGTGTGCCTTTGAGTGGGTGGCTGCTTTAAGCCATGAATTCATGATAATTGCATTTTCTGATGCCCGATTGCAATGTAAGCTTGTACCACGCATTATTACTGCGATATTACTGTTGCATTGTGAAGCATGTATACAGGACGCGTGCGCTTCTAAAGCACGCAAGTTACTTTCACTGAATTTCCAAGCAGATGTGTGGCTCTGTGGTAGAAGACTTGCTTGCCATGCAAATGACCTCAGTTCGAACCTCACTCAAACCCAGATTTCATTATTATTTTATTTTAATCTTTCTTGATTTTCTAGGTCACGCACAAGATTATTTTTCGCCCATAACCAACGGCACCAACGCCGACACTGAAAGTGCTGCGGAAGGAGCTCTTCAACGTTATCGCATTAAGGGGGCAGACTAGTCTTAGACATTTTTTGTTTATTTCTTCAGGTATTTCGACCAATTTACACAAGGCTATGCAGTTTTTCCTGCTGATTTCAAATATTTAATTACTTTTCCTGTAACTCATCTTATTCCTGAGATAACTTAAGTTCACCCCCTATTATTTAAGGCCACTAAAGAAAAAAAGTGCTTAATCAAAAGTGATATTTAGGATATTCTAACATAGACTAATGACTATAAAGTGAAAGTGTGTAAGAGCTTTTTGTTTTTGGGCCTTTATTGGTTATTTTGCAGCAATATGAACTATCTATTTATCTTGAGCCAATACGACGGCTGCAAAAACGGGCTATACGTACGATTACTTTCTCACCTTACTACGAACATAGCAAATCACTTTTTTCTAGGTTAAAGATCTTACCATTTGATTTTGTGTGGGAACTAAAACTAGCTATATGTATTAACGGTGTTGTTAGGAACAATGAACCATTCCCAATTTCATTACTGTGTATTCCCCGACGCCAAACGAGGAACCGAACTTTTAAAAACTTCAATATACCGCCCACAAAAAACGCCTATAGCAAACGTCTACTACAATGTACTGGAGTGAAAGTTTGAAATGGCATACCACGTTATATAAAGAATACCCAGAACTTTTCCAGATCATTGAAAAAATACTACTTTGAAGCAATTTTCATTGCTTGAGTGGACTTATACTTTAGGTTGTAATTTTTCATTATGTATATATATTGCCCTTTATGTGTTTAGTGTTTTCTTTGAAAGATGTTTTTTTTTTAAAGATGTTTCCATACCCTTGTTCTCTTTATTAAGCAATATAAGAGAACTACTATTGATGCTTGCAACTACAAGTATCATTCTTCAGTTCTGTACGCCATTAATAACCAAATATTTGTGTTTACTACAAGTTATGTACTTTCCCTTTTTTCTATGTTCAATCGAATTCAAGTGACTGTTGTTAGCAGGTAAACATTACTTCTTGTATGATGATATCAAATTTGAATTGTTTACTTCTGTTTTTTTTTAAATTAGAACTATTACAGTTCCAGTTATGTATACGTTCAATGAGACCCGCACTAGCCATTGGCTATGGGACCACACAGTTTGTGCTTATTTTGTATAAGATATGAGTGCAATAAAGATCATTCATTCATTCAAAAGCAGTTAAATTGTATTATAATTTTGATGAGTATTTCTTTAAAAAGGATTGTGTTCTAAGTTCTTCTCCCATACTTGCATTCAACACACATACAGGTTTTCACTGCAAATATAATTATTGTTGTACCTGCCCTTGCTGCAGAGACATTGAGGCCTCAAAATTGAACAGTCGTAAATTTACTTCTTTGAGAAAAATGAAAAAAAAAAAAAAACTGAAGACACACAGCTTCTTCAAAAAGCAACAATCATGGTGCGCATGTTTTGCAATCCTCATAAAGGTGCTCATAAATTCGTAGCAGAGCTTCTAACACAGGTGCCGGCCAATTATAAAGAAGCCTCAAAGTCTGATTGATTTGTGGGGTTTAACGTCCCAAAACCACCATATAGATTATGAGAGACGCCGTAGTGGAGGGCTCCGGAAATTTCGACCACGGGTTCTTTAACGTGCACCCAAATCTGAGCACACGGGCCTACAGCATTTTCGCCTCCATCGAAAATGCAGCCGCCGCAGCCGGGATTCGATCCCGCGACCTGCGGGTTAGCAGCCAGTACCTTAGCCACTAGACCACCGCGGCGGGGCAGTAGAGCCTCAAAGTCGGTTCCCCATTTTTTCACAGGTACTGCATGTTAACAGCACCAAGAATATTGACAGTTAGAATGACATAACAAAAAAATTACTTCCTGGTGTGTGAAAATTTGCCGAGAGATAGAAAAATACTTGCGGAAACCAAATATATCAATTTTAAAAAATGGATTTTTTTTGTCGCTTTTTGGTCCCAAAGACCACTCTGCCCCCCTAATAAGAAGACATCAGCGCTTTCATGAGAATCATGTTCACTGCTGGCCTTGCAGATGTAGTCCCAATTGGAAAGAAATTTTGGGGGTGATTTGTCAATTTCGTTATATCCAGGTTTAATTAAATGTGCTGCGCACATGCATTTGCCAAAATGAGCAATTTTTTTTTCCTTTTTTTTTTTGCTATCCTTTAGGTAAACATCGAACCTTACGAAATTCATGCAAAGTGTAGTGAACAAGATCATTCATTACAAACATATAAACGTGGAGGTTGCTCAATGACATTTAAGTATACACTGTAACATCACTATGACAAAGTTGATTGATTGATATGTGGGGTTTAACGTCCCAAAACCACCATATAATTATGAGAGAAGCCGTAGTGGAGGACTTCGGAAATTTCGACCACCTGGGGTTCTTTAACGTGCACCCAAATCTGAGCACACGGGCCTACAACATTTCCGCCTCCATCGGAAATGCAGCCGCCGCAGCCGGGATTTGATCTTGCGACTTGCGGGCCAGCAGCCGAGTACCTTAGCCACTAGACCACCGCGGCGGGGCACTATGACAAAGTTGCATCTTGGACGAAAATAGGTTCATTATATCCGAAAATGCATTTTAAAGGTTTACTTTTAAACTATATCGACTGCAGACTATTTTATTCACTTCATTATAATCGATATTTCGTAATTGGAGAGTTCGTTATATTGAGGTATGAGTGTACCACCTTAAAAAAGAAATGAAGTAGCCAAAAAAGTTTTTTTTCTCAATTTCTCCACAGTAAACTTGCTGAACAAAATTTTGCTGAAGCCTTCCACGCCACTTACGTGCTGCACATTTTTAAGGGGGGACGTGGCAAGTAAAACTAATTTTTTTATTAATGTACTGTTTGTGATGAAATTTGGTGTGTGTATGTGGATGATTGTGAGGATTCCAAATATGAAAACCGTTTTCAAATACCTCTTGTACTTTTTGAGTTACAAGCATAATTATACTAATTAATGCTCTTCACTCTTAAAAAGATAATTATTGCTAAATGAAATTATTTTTTCATATTATTATGTTCCCAAAGCATCAACTTGTGCAAAGAAGCTATTAGTTGATTTTTCTAGTTCTTGTAACCATAAATAAAATTTCCAAAACACGGATGTTGTTTTGCGCACACATCGCAGTAATTATAAAATGTGTTCTAAAAATTTTAAATGATGAGTAAGAAGAGAGATAAAGCTTTATTGCACTGCTAAAGGCCTCCTGAGCCTAGTGCAAAAAACGGAACGACTCTATCAGTCTTTGTTAGAAAATGACAGATGTTCTAGTGAAGGCACATAGGCGAAAATCAAGAGTTGAGAAAACTGACTTTGAAAGTTCACTCTTGTTTGGAAGTTCACAACATGCCTAAAACACTCAGAATCCTCCTGGGCAGTAATCCTGAGATGTTGTGGCCTTGGCCTCTGTAGAGCGCAACCCAGTTTTGCGCTTCTTTGTCGTGGAACAATGCGCCTTTTGAGCCCTCTTTACCTTTTTGGCATCCTTTTCGGCTGCTCGCCGCAAAGAGCAGTCTCCTGGATTGAAGCCCAGTTGAGCAGTGATCTCTTGCAGCCACCATTGAAACGGCAGACTGCATCTGCAACTGCACTTTCCACACTTCGAAGGGAGGCGAACTGGCTCTTGGACTGGAGTGACCAAATGAGGCTGTTCATACTCTCCACAGCGTTCTGGGTTTTTCCCTGCGCACACCTTTCAAGGAGCTCTTTGTTCGAGAGGCGCTAGTAGATTGGCAGCAGTGCCACTCGCACGTGAGGGGGCAGTTTATGTTTGTGAGGCGGCAGCGGCTCTCCCTTGGCCAATGCCTGATTGTGCGGGCACCAGGAGTCAGTCCCACTTGGGCCTAGGTCGTGGTGTGGATCCTGGTCTGTGGATGTTACATGGTAATAAGTGGCCATGATGGCCCTCTCCATGCCAGGAACATCGTTGGGGTGGCTCTTAATGGCCCAGCCATAATAATTCGTTAACTTCTTTATCAGGCCCTGCGTCAGCCGGCCTTTGCCACCCATGCTCAGTCCTCGGCCTTTGGATTTGTGCTCATCAAGAAGGTTGCGCAAGGAAGTGCCCATTTTTTTCACATGGTTCACACACTCCTGTTTCTTAATCACCATGTAGCCATACACCTTGTCTTGTGTGAGGGCAAGGTACGTACGGCTGTCACCGTCGCAGAGCACATTGATGTATCGAAGCTTGTACTTGGTAAACGATCTCTCAAACATGATCCTAGCTGCTTCTACTTCCATTTGGCCTGCATTAGCATCGGTGTTCTTTTGGCACTGTGGCTTGTGTTTCTCAAGCCACTCCTCATAGTTGTCGTCACCAGGCTTGGGGCCAACAGCACAGCCTTGGCAGTAGTTGGACAGGACACAGTGGTCCAAGACCAAGCCTGTGTACAGTTCGATTACACAGCCCACGCCAATATGACTTCTGTGCCCCCTCGTCATCCACGTGCCGTCGTAAATGACGTCAATGTTGCCTGGCACTCCTCCTAGGTCCTTGTAAATGTCATGCACCTTCTGTGCACTTTCTGCTTCAATGCGGGTGGCAGCCGATGTGGTGGCAGGGTGGCTGTACTTCCTTTGCAGTCTCTGATAGGACTTGTGGTGCAGTGCTCGATGCGAAATGTCCATCGCAGAAAAAATGTCATTTATGGCAGATTGTTTTCTGCCAACTGACTGCACAGCCCTCAAAGCACGCACGTTTACCTCAAAGGAGTTCGTTTTTTGTTGCCCGGAGCACCTCGGGGACGACCACGCACTGTTCACTATGCCACAATTGTCACAAAAAAGTTCCATCCTCGCCGCGAGTCCAAGGCAGTGCGTAGTCTCGAGGCGTATCGACCCTTCGTCGCACTTGTTGCACTTTACTGACGAAAGCAGACCGTTCAGCATCTTCTTATTTACAATGAAGAATGTGGAGTCCTTACCGCCGTCATTTTCGTCGCAGCCTTCGTTCAGAAGCTCGAGCTTCCGCTTTGAAGCGGACTTCGATGCTACGGCATCCAAAACATCCCGCCTTGTCTGCGCCCGCTGCGCGATTTCTTCACTGCTCGGAATCTGGGCCGAAACTCGCGATAGAATGTTCGACGCGCGCACGCCCGGAGTTGCAACGGCTGCCGACGCGGTGCCACCGCAATCGGGTTCGCGAGAGCGTCCATCACGGTCGACGGCATCCGGCGGTCTGACATACGACGTTGTGGCACCTTCCACACTCTCGGCCTCACAACAATCAGCGAAGGGTCTGAGTAGAGGCTCCGTGACGCTTGAAGAGCATGCTCTGTCCGGAACTGCGACTGGGACGGCAGCCGCAGTCGTCTGCCCTTTGTTCCAAGCTTTCCGACGCTTGCCGTACTTGTGGACGCTCCGGAACTTTTTTTGCGGCAACATAGCACCGCAGTATGAGCAAGCACTCAGAAGAGACCACCGATGTAAACAAAGCTTGGTAAAAAAAAGCACGCGAACTATCACAAAAACAGCAAACTGGCAAAAAACGAAGCGCACGCCGGATGATTCTCGGCACGGCGGCCGCAGATGCGCTCGCGCTTCCAAGGTTGCCAAGGTGCGCGGCGCAGCTTTGACCAGTAAGAGGTCGTCGCGCCTGCTACCACGTGACCCGCGCAGCCAATTGCCGTTCTTCGTTTTCGTTTTTTTACTTGCTCCTCACGCTTTTATTTTCACTCGGCGAAATACGAGACCGTGACCATCGGGAAGCCGGTTTTCTCCTCTTTCCAAAGCTACCAAAATGGCGGCCCACGGTCAACAACTTGGCGCGTTTGTGCGGCGTGAACAACACCGTTTCAGGGGCTTTTTTTTCGCACTTTTCGGCGACTAGCCTCGGCAAAAACACTATTTGCGGGATTTGTAGCGCACGTTTCGCTGTAATATTTTAGAACAAGGAAGTTGAAGGTCTGAAGATTACGAAGAAAAAAATAAATCAGAAAATCGCATATTTTGACCAAAATCGGCACTTTACTTGCCGCGCCCCCCCTTAAGCTACGACCCTTTATTTCAATCACCTAATGAGAGAGAGAGAGCCAACGACATACATGCCAACGTCACAGCATCCAAATTCAGCACATTGCGACGAGGGAGGGGGAGTAGTTTTTTTGTTTTTTTTTCATAGTGAGACCTACTGAAACTAGAGACAGACATCAAAAAGGAGTAAGGATGTTTATTTTGAGTTGCTCGAATCAAACTTCTTTATTTGTGAAGGCACCTGGCAGCGCAAACATAGTCCTGATGCTTCTGTGAAGCGGTGTGTACCTATATATCGGCCTTTCCGCCGTGTGACACGCTTAAAACACGGACACGTGGTACAGAATCTGTATTTATCACCTTTCCGTAAAGTCACAAAGAACAGAAACTAGGCTGTGTACGAGTCACTCTGTTTCACGACTTTGGTTCAGCACTACCGAAGCTACAGGGTGTAAGACAGCCACACGCTTGCGAAGCGAAACGTAGTTCCACATACAGTAGCCTTAAAATTGACAGAGTTGGGTAAAATTGACGTTTCTCATGACATGTTTATTTTTCTTCACATTTATTTCTTACGCACTTAATTACTTGTGTCTGTTACTGCCAATAACTGTGTTTAAAAATCAACAGACAGCACCGATGCATAAGTGAACGCCCACTTCAATCAGGACTTGCTTATGCTACTTGGCCACAGCGCTGACAGCAGTAAACAAACGGTGAAATCATGCATTGATTTGTTTCATCTCAATCTGGGACTAAAGCATCAGGAACGTTTTGTAGATATTAGCGAGAAATACTGCTTGCTTAGCCACACCTGCAAAGCCTAAACGCATTGAGGTAGTGTTCAGACTGCGTCGTCACACCAAGAACGCTGCATCTCCAAATATCGGACATGCAACTTCACACAGAATTCTATACGCATCGGATTCTCCTTCGGTAGAAACAAGAAGAGAGAAGAAGCATTGCAGCAGAAGACGTGGAGGAACGCATCGACGGAGAACCAGACATACAATAGCCATGAACAGCACAGGCGAGAAACAGCCCCAAAGTTAAGTTATCCGCAAGCATGAGATTCTAGCAATCTTCAGTAAAGCAGTAGAGCAACAAATGCCCGCTTCTTCAAGTTTCCGGGGTAGTTGCTTGTTTAATAGCTTTATGCATTTTTAAGTTAATAAACTGGTCATAATACCTACAATTTGTTGAGTAGACGCCGTGAATACGCTGAGCTGACACTATGGGAATGAATACTAGTGAAGACACTAAGCACCCTTCCTATTGGCTGAGGGGCCTGTAGACTCCTACAGTGTTGAAGGGAACTTCTGAAACAGAGTATAGAAACACTTCTAAGCACTTCTTTCATTTTGACCTCGCCATCAGCTTTGTGGAAGCATGCAACTGCCATAACCATGGCAGATGGTGTAGGCATAGCATACAAAATGTGGGGGCCAAGACAGAGACGCAAAAGTCCTGGCTAGGCTCAATGGAAATGATTGCCTCAAGTGAACTGAAGAGTGGGGCCAGAGCAGCGAAATTTTAACACGCGGCACTGTTTCTCCCAAGTATGCCGATATGGAGAGTGCAAAGAACATTGGGGCCCCTTATCGCTGGTGTGCACGTCACCCTTACTCGGAAAATGAAATGTGCACGACAGTCTTCCCCTCTCGTTATCGGAACGCTCGTGAACATACAGCACCGCAGCTCCAGCCACCGTTTACCTTTGACAATCTTTTTCGTTAAGGCTGTACCTTTTCCCTCGCCTCCTTTCGGTACGGTGGTGAGTGTTCTTGCGGTCAACATTTGCCCAGACGCGCAGTGCCTAGAATATACTCAGCTGTACTCTACAATATATGTAGTTACAATGAAATAGAAGTCTGGTGGCGAGTGTTCTCCCGCAGCAGGAAGGGCTGACTTACGCGCATAATTAAAAAAGGGAGAGGAGAAAAAAAAAACACCTCTGCTGTGGTCGCTACTTTTCAGGAGATGAGGTGCAAATTCAGAAGTTTCCCAAACAATTCGGGAGAATTGGCAGGTATGCAACGATCAAAGAGCTGAAAACAACATCCCAACAGGCACCGACCTGGCATCGTCCGGCACGGTCGTCGATGTAAGAACACTGGCAAGCAGGGTGAGTATCCTCGAGAGGTACACGCTCCGTGGCACGCCCGGGTCGTCGCCATGTATGAGCAGCGTGCTGGATGATATGAAGTGTCCGTGCCTGCGCAGAGTTTGTGAAAGCGTTTCACACACACAAAAAAAAACAAAGCAGGTGCTCACCAACCCCGCGTAATTTTACACAAATTACAAGAACAGAGTGAATTGAAGAAACCTCGTAATTTGCCAATTCAACTTGTTAGACGGCCTTGAAGTCGTGATGACGTGATGAGTCGACCTTTGACGTGATGAGTCGACCTTTGAAGATCCGTCGTCATTGTCGTTTAAGAGAGCTTCCATCAGCGCGTAATCTGCCATACTTTAGGCAGTGATGACATGGTTGTCCGCATTTAAAAAAGGAAAGGATAAAGAAAAAAAAAGGCAAAGCTGAACGTTGTCGGGGGCCACACCATGCACACGCAGTGAAACCATGCATGCATGAATGCACGGTGTCAAAAACGAAAAGCAAACAACATGGATACCACGGAAAACTATTTGGTGAATTCCCCTCCATATTCAGCGTGGCCCCACATATGTGACACTAAAGAGGCGTGGCACCACCAATGCAAAAGTAGTTTCCTTTTTTGCTTTTGGTTAAGAGGAGGTGGGACACATCCGCGCATGTACCCGCGGTGGCAAGAACGGTGGCAACACCGCCTCGTGGGGCGCAGGCCCGGCTGCACGAGCGCTCCCTCTCGCTAGGTTGTCCCTGGGACCACGAGCGTGCCATTTTGCGCTTTGGCGGCGGCGGGTCGCCAGCAGAAGATGCATGCTCGTACCAAAATGACAAAATCCGGGACAAAATTCTTAGATTGTCCATAGGCGAAATTCGTTATATCAAGGTCGCCTCCCGCTGTTACTTCGTTACATAGCGGTCACGAATACATGTGCTTCAATAGAGCAACGACGGAGAATAGAAAAACTTTGTTATATCGAGGAATTCGTAGTACGAAAGTTTGTTATAAGCAGGTTCCACTGTATCAGCGAAACTTGCCCGCCTCATACTGTTGAGTGAAACTGAAACGATTGTCGCACGGCAACGCGAATCCCCCCACCAGCGTGGCACCTGAATACTGTGAACTTCGAATTAGACTCATGTTAGATTTTCACAATCCATTCTAACGAGAGTAGACTGTAATCACTGGTGATAACCATAAATGACATTTTTTGGCACCAATCACCCGAGCACAGCCTTAAAATTCTCAACAAATGGGTGCAGATACAGCAAACATAAAACAAAGTGCGCAGAAAAGTGTGGACTCTCAAGCTTTACAATGGTAAGCCTTCACAAAAACATTACCTCTGGCTGTGTGAGTGCAGCAGGTAAAGCATGGCATACTGGGTGCTGGGCGATCCGTGCCAGACGTCACTGACTGGTGTCAGGTACTCGAGAAGGAGGTCGAAGAAGGCTGGCTTCAGGGCCCACATCTGGGAGTAGGAAGGAAGCCCAACATCAAGTGAATGGTATCAACTCGTGAACACACGTGTAAAGCTTAAAATCAAGAAGATTTTCTAGAATAGATGAGCAAAGTCTGCACATAAAAATATATCCTTTATCTGCTTTAGCTGAACTCTGCTGAATCCGATTCGAAGCTTATGCTATAAGGTGCACTTTCAAGTCCAATTTCAAACGAGTTTCTTGATCTCAATTGGCTAGCGCGAGGAAGGCTAAACGAAGTGAAGTGCAGTTAAGAAATCCGATCCTGACCCGGTCTTGATTGTGAGAGAAAAATAAAAAAGGACGGTGCGCAATTTATGCAGCACCTACCGTATTTACTCGCATAATCCTTGCAACTTTTTTGGCAGAAAACCGATGCAAAGTTGGGGGGTGCGAGAATTACGCGGGGAAAACTTTCCACGGAAACGTACAAAGCGAAAAAGAAAACGAAGTGGTAGCAAATCGGGATTCTCACACCAGCAACCCACAGCAAGCTTTAGGAAGTACTAATTAAAACTTACCTAAACAATAAAAGCAGAGGTTCAACACAAGGCAAGATTTATTTGAGACACAAAAAGTGTAAGCAAATAGTCGAGAATTAGAATACCACACGCAAAGCTTGTGGGCGTTGCGGGCGTAGCGGTAGCGTTCGTCCCTCAACAGGAGCCCTCCAAAGGTAAGCGTAGGACGTCAGTATTGAGCTGATGGCTATTTAACAGCATCGTCGGCAGTTTCCTTCTGAAGAAATAGTTAATTATCGATCCCAGTCTTAGGCACATGGCAGGCTCACTGCGTTTTGGTGGCTTTCACCTGCCGTCACCAGTAGCAAACACAAAACTCGTCTACTCCGAAGGGCCTACCGGCGGCCCTGTTGCCGTTGTTTAGTGTTGATCAATCACTTTCAACTAGAAAGCAGCTGTGAAGCTTTCATACTGCCCCATAACGTCAGAAGATTACAGACACAACATACAAAACACGCCGCAACGCACACTTGCTACAATGGCTTGGCTTGAATTGAATCTCCGTGCAATAATAGTACGCTTGATGCTTAAGAGATGGCGCCAGATAGTGCTATCATCACCAATAGTTAGATCAAGCAGACGACATTATTGAGGCAATTTTTGGGAGTGCGATAATTACTCGAGGAAAAAAAGAAATCGTATTTTTGAGCGCAATGTAGGGGGTGCAACAATTATGCGAGTGCAAGGATTACGCGAGTAAATACGGTATATAATTTAAAATATTTTTGAGCGTAACTCCGAAAATTTGCATAAACTTTCTGAAGAAAAGAAAAAATTGTGATTCTTATAAGAGCAAATACATATACAGTGGAATTTCGATTATACGTCCCCCGGTTTCTTAATAATTCGCGTGTTACGACGAATCAGTTTGGTCCTGGTAAAATCCCCATAGAAGTAATGTATTGACCCTTTATTGCCGGAATTATGAAATGGCCAACAAATAAATTGTTTTCATTTTCTTGCTTAGAAATAGCAACCTTTACATGATTCCTCAATTAAAATATCTAAGATGCACCTTTAATGCATGCTTTTATGTATGTCGAGAATTCTCCACATGCCACAGAAGCGAAGACCTTGCGATGGAAAACCTACTCAGAACTACGCACCTTTCGTAGCCCACGTCCTGAGCACGTACACACCAAATAAACAAAATTATTGAAGATAGAAGTTGCCTCAGCCAGGCAAAAAAGAACAAAGAAGTGAATTTGTTTATTTTAGCTACAAGACAATCGGTTCTAGCATAAACTACCTCAGACGAGACTGCGCTAGATTTTTCATGCTGAAAGCTATCTTCTTCATGAGTACTTGACAGCCAGCATTAAAGGCGGCACGCATTTCGTGACTTGCTTGCTCAAATTTTTTCGGTATGTGGCAAGTTAACGACATTAGGCAGTAAAAGAAACCTTGATTATACAACTGAATTTTAGGCCAACCCTGGATCTTACGACAGCTTTCAGATTAAGTCCGAAATATAAAAACCACCTTTACATCAGACATCGTCCAAATATTCACGAGTGCAAAATATGAACTTGCGTTCCACTGAGTTAACAATTGAAAAAACAGATTGTCTTCTTAGAACGAAAAATTTATTCTCGTGGAAGTACATGCATTTCCATATGCATCTAGATTGCGTGCATGCAGTGGGGTGCTATCACCCCTTGTAAAGTCATATGTTCCTCGTGGAACACACGTGCTTCGTAGGTAAGACACATTTAGGGTTAGCAGGCGGTAAGCGGTAGGTGGCGCAGCACTCGCACGTTATCATCGCAATCATTATGGTTACCGCGGTAGTGCCAGCAGTGACATTTGGCCGCGAAGCTGCGTGGCACCGCCAGAATAAAACCAAGGCACGACCTAGTGCAGAGGCACAAGGCCTTGCCTTGGTTTTATTCAGGCGGTCTGTACCCGTTTTTTTGGGGTAAGGCTGAGTGTAACTGCCTATAACCTTTGTTTTTAGATTATACAATGCCCGGATTATACGACAGTTTTGCGTGGTCCCTTGAAAGTCGCATAATTAGGGTTTCATTGTAGCACGTTGTCCTGCTACTTCTGAGTACACTCATCTAGTTTATTCTTTGTGCCACAAAAGCCATGATCGACAGCCACAAAAATGTTTCTTCCTACTTGCTACCCAGGAAACACATGCACTAATGTGAGCATAGTTCGGCAATAAAAAAAAAAAAGTAGAGCTCACGTGGACTTATTCAGGAAATATACCTTGCACTTAGTGCTCGCTCAATATCAGACTTGCCAAATTTTTTCTGAACAGGACTTACTCAGACTCACGGCTTGATCAAAGTTTGAGTTAGCCCGAACGAGTCAGCTCACCAGTGAGTTTGCCAACCTATGGTAGTGAGTACACTCATACCTCATAATAACGAAGTTGCATTTTACACGAAAATAACACTTATGTACTTAAAAAGTCATTATTAATATATGTGCCTAACACTATGTCTATTGCATGATTATTTATTATTTCGTTATCACTAATATTTTATTACACCTGGGTTCGCTATATCGAGGTTTGAGTGTATATTGTTTTCAGGAGGGCCAATGTTGCTCACCCCTATGATGGAGTGTCGGGCGTTGGCCACCTGGCTGAGGGAGCACAGGGGTGCCAGGGCTGTGGCCACCATGTTGGTCGCGTCCAGGCTCTGCACCAGGCACCGGTAGGCCTCCTCCACGATGGCCACGCTCTTCAGCTTCAGCATGGAATGCTGCACCGACAACAGCTGTGCCTGCACTCGTGCCCGTGGGCTGCGACACCAGCGGCTCTCGAAGGCCAGCGACACCAATGGTAGTGGAATCTACGAGAAAGAAATGGCAGATGCAGCATTCACTATCTGGGAAATCCGGGAAACATGCTCAGTCGCTGAAAAAGCACACCGGGTCGCCGATTCCTTACGCGCCCGATCTATTCAAGCATGAGGGACTCCCTGACGAACCCTTTTTTGTTTCCTCTCATGATAACATCCCGGGGAAAGTCTTCTTGATAGCCCTTTTTTCTTGAAAATGACATAAGGGGGGCAGCTTCTTTGTATAGGCGGTGCATGTGAGCATCACTGTAAATCGAGAAGGCTCGTTGCCCGCTGTCAAGAGCTTCACTTGCTTGGATCTTTTAGCGATCACAGTGCAGTTCGAGGGCATATCAAACCAGATTGAGTTTCATCAGCATTGCCCATGTGTCACATCATGTAGCAATGCTTCCGACGAAGCCCTATGACGAACCTGCTGTCAACTACCATTCATTTATGAAGGAAATTGAAAACAGCAGACTGACAGCGGATAACAAGGCAAAATAGAATTGCTAGAACACTGCAGGCCTTGCCTAGCCTTGCCCAATGACGCCGCTGCTAATGCTCATGATGGCAATGGAGGAGTTTCACTTCGGCAGCCCGATGTTGCAAAACTTTCAAATTTCTTTCTGCCAATGACCGGTACATAAGACGAGGATCGACTTTCATTGATTTTTTTTTATTTAACCTATATTTCGATCTTTTATGGTACTTCTTAGAGCGTAGTTATGCTGCATTCCTGGCAACATGGCTTCTAAATAGGTGGGTAGACCTGTACCGTAGACCCTCATTAAACATAACCTGAAGGAATCCGAAAAATCTGCTCAGTTTAACAAGAGTACCGTTTACTGAGATGAACAGAGATGCAAAATTCAAGAAAGGAAACAATCATATTAGAGGCACTTGTCCCATTTAAGTAGCAATTATGTTGAAAATATTTTTGTCTCCTAGGGTTCTACTTCGGTTTCTGTGCACTCACTCACCATCACATTTTCCCACCCACTAGCCATACAGAGTTTTGCTCTCAAATTTTCTCGTGCACAGTAGTTGGGAGCTGTGCCGAGGGCCGTATGCAGGGGCAGGTCAGGTAAGCGCAGGAAAACAAGACAGCTCAGGCAGTGCTGCATTTGACAACAATCGGCAAAGGCTCAAGTCCCACTGACCTGGGGTCCCAGGTGCTGAACGAGTGACCCAAGCAGTCGCAGCAGGGACAGGGTGTGTGCCTCGGACAGCACCAACTGCGCCTGCAGGTGCAGCAGGTCCACCAGAGACGGAGGGCACTGACCCGTCAGGTTGCACAAGAGCACCACCGTCTGGTTGGCTGCACAAAGAACACACCAGGGAGAGGGTCAAGGTCGTGCGGAGGACAGCAAAGAATACACTCAGTGGTGACAAACAAGCCAAAGTTACGCGACACCTCTAACTGCTATGCTTTCGGCAGCATTGCTTTATTCTAGTTTAAAGGGGCCCTGCAACATTTTAAAGGGGCCCTACAACACTGCAGCTTGTGTAGCGCTGCCGAATGCTGAGATGAATGCAAAAAAATTTATCGAAATCGGTACACAGTAACAGAAGCTATTAACCCCAGCAGACAAGAAAAAAATGTTCCCTTTTGCGTTTCACTCTTCCACTGACGTCAAAGGCCGTTTCCAATTATTGCACGTCTTACAGGGACATACCGGATGACTCGCCTCGTCGTTGTGCAGCGTTCCTAGTGTTGTTTTGCAGATGTTTTCACACTTTCGTATTTCTAAACAGAAATCCTTGCTACTCGTGCAACGATATCAGTGCATTCCGCAGTTTCAGAGAAGCGATGAAAACAACACACTTAATTTGTGTCGCAGGGCCCCTTTAAAGGGGCACTGACATGAAGTTTCGCACTCAAAATAGCCTGCGAGATCAATCACCATGAATATGCGTATACACAGTATGATCTCCGTGATACGAATCTCACAGGGGAGTGACATCTGCATCACCTGAAATTTCATGTCACCAAAAAACTAGCGAAATTCACTTCAAACCACAATATATGCACAAAACATTTATTACCATTGAAAGAACTCGCATGTGTCTTCCTGGGACAGTCCCGAAAAAATTAATAAGGGATGGAGCAGTTGGCTGCCACAAATGCGCCCATCAGAGTTCAGCTTGAGGCCAACTGAAAACTAAGTGGTGAAGTCCTCTGCTCCACCATAGTGAACGACAAGAACGGCAAAATTATTCATGCTTTTTGTGACCTTATCACCTTTAACCTACCACTGCACTAGCCATGTACCTTCAGAGCTGCATAGTCACTGTCAATGATCACACCGACAACATAGCTACCATGGTACCGTGCGCAGCAGGTGCAGCAAGCGAAGTACCGTAGACTCTTGTTAAGCGAAACTTGAAGGGACCAGGAAAAGGTGTTCGGTGTAGTGCGAGATGGACAGGGGTGCAGAATTCAGGTACGAAACCAATCGTGCTGGATGCAGTTGTTCCATTTAATCAGCAGTTCTGCTAACAGACTTCTGTTTACTGAATCTGCTGTAGTTTCTTTTTCATACCATTTAAAAAGCTTATTAACTGCCCTAGTAGATACGAGACCAAGGATGAGAGAAGACAGGATGTGCACATCTAGTCTTCCCTCATCTTACGTTCAATTATGCACACTTACGCATAGTTAAGAGCTCTTAAAATAAATGTTAACCAAGTCGCCTTACTTGGCACCCTACAACGTACTTCCATTTACAATCAGCGTGCACTGGCTGTGCATGTGCCTTCAAAACTACATTGGTGCCCCCTATGATGATGTCCACTGCAGTTTTATGGACAGTGGTTGCGTCAAACAGCGTCACTTTGCCTGTGTCAGCAGTCACTGCCCATGCACTTTGGAAGTTTTGTAGTCATCAAAGATGATTGCGACAATATCGACCGCTGCTCAGTCCATAGCAGTCATGGCAAACGATAACTCCAGTTCTGACTGCGTGTGCGCTGGTTGTGCACATACTTTCAAAGCTTCCAGAGCAGCCTTGTGCTGGCTGTCGGTCGATGGTATTAGTAACCAACTTCATATCACCCATCTCGCGGCTGAAAAGTTCTCGAAACATCCGAATTTCGGCCTCATCCAACCCCATTACAAGAGACCCTGATGTAAGAGACAAATGAGTATAACAGACACCAGTGCGCTTGCAACGAAATGGGGGTTTATCAAGAAAGGGGAACATAGTACCCTGCTTACAAGAGAAACATCATGTAAGGGGCAGGAAATGCTTCCCAGTGAAGGGGTTGAACAGTACTTTGGTCTTCTGGTTCTGAGCTAGCCAGAGCGTCGCACCAATGCATTTCAACGAGGTCCGGGTTTTGGTGACCGAAAAGAGCCATGTGACTTTTCTTCTTCAGCTCCGAAATTAATAAGTGCTCAGTTGTTGTTTGGGACGCGTGTTGCTTATTGGGTACGTTATCACCAATATTAAACTATTATCTACCAAATCACAACAACAAATATAGCTTTGAAGGTAATGTATATAAATTTTGAAGTTTGCGCATGCAATGCAGCACTATACTTCGCACCTTGTGACATTGACATCATCTAAGGGGACTTGAAAGTGACCTCCAACTTCCGGGATGTCACCACTGTGCCCGAGCGTCGAGCTGGCAATGCCAGAATGATATTGTTACGTGGAAAATAACAGTAGTCAGTTCGCAGCTACAACGCAGCTCACCGACAACGTCCACTTCTTCACTCTCAGTCTGAGGCACCTTTCTTGGGTATGTCCCACTATGCCCTGTTTCAGTCAGCCGAAATCACGTAACATGACCCGCGCGTTTACAGGGCCACAGCAGGAGCAGTGTGGTAACGCTTGAGCCTTGATACAAGGACGATGTCTCGGGACAGCAGAGCAGAAGAGGTTGATAGATTATCAGGGACAATTTCATATGTACTGTCGGTCACTCGTCTAAGCACGCGGTATGGACCCGTGAAACGAGAGAGAAGCTTCTCTGAAAGGCCTGCATGTCACGTAGGGGACCAAAGAAGAACGAGGGAACCTGTCGGAAAGTGTTCGTCGCGATGCCGTTCGTCGTAACGATGCTTCTGCGAGTCTTGGGACACCATTAACTGCTGCGGGCAAGCCGACGAGCATGGCCAGCTCGGGTATTAGCGTCGCGTGCATACTCAGAAGTAGACTGCGCAGCGGCTGGCAGGAAGGTGTCCTGTAGTAAGACGGTTAGTTGGGCCAGTTGTTTAGGATCCATCGTGAACTTACTTACAGCGCAACACCAGAAAAAATACAGGACAGGGAAGGAGCAAAAGACAGCGCCGTCTTTTCATTCTCTTTTGCTCCTTCCCTGTCCTGTATTTTTTCTGGTGTTGCGCTGTAAGTTCAGGAAGGTATCCAACGGCAATGTTGGTTCGCGTCCAAACAGAAGGTAAAATGGCGAGTACCCAGCAGTGTCATGCCGGGAGGAATTGTATGCGAACGTCACTTAGGGTAGTGCAAGGTCCCAATCACGATGGTCGGCCAAGACGTATTTCGATAGCATGTCTGTCAGGGTGCGGTTCAAACGTTCTGTAAGCCCGTCTGTCTGGGGATGGTACTATGTCGTGAGCTTATGTTGGGTATAGCAGGAACGCAGGATATCGTCAACCACTTTCGAAAGGAACGTACGGCCTCGGTCTGTCAGCAGTTGACGAGGGGCTCCATGCACTATAATGAGATCGCGTAGTAGAAAATCAGCGACGTCGGCATGGCTCGCATAACCGCATAACGGGTCGCGTAATCTGTAGCAACCGCGACCCACTTGTTTCCGGAGGCGGATATTGGGAAGGGACCAAGAAGGTCCAAACCAACACGGAAGAATGACTCCGATGGGATGTCGATGGGCTGAAGATATCCGGAAGGGAGCCCCGACGGCTTTTTGCGACGCTGGCAAATTTCGAAAGCGTTGACATAACGACGTACAGAGCGTGAAAGGCCAGGCCAGTAGAAGCGGCGGCGCACACGGTCATATGTGCGAGAGACACCAAGGTGACCCGCGGTTGGCGCGTCATGGAGCTCGCGTAAGACTGTGGAGCGCAGGTGCTTTGGTATGGCCAGAAGTAGGTCGGGACCATTGGGCGATAAATTACGCCGATATAAGGTGTGGTTTTTTAAGGTAAACATGCGAACAGAAGCGTCTTGCGGTGAAGATTCCAGCTGTTGTATTAGGCGGCTGATATCCGGATCGCGACGCTGCTCGTCCCCGAGATGAAGCAGCTGGCAGATGGAAAGGACGCAACCCAGAGAATCAGTGCTCGTAGGATCGCAGTTGGCCACAGGGTAGCGCGACAGACAATCCACATCTTTGTGCAGTTTTCCTGATTTATACACTACGGTGTAAGAATACTCTTGGAGGCGGAGTGCCCAGCGGGCGAGACGACCTGTGGGATCTTTGAGGGAGGCGAGCCAGCAAAGAGCGTGGTGGTCAGTGAGAACTATAAATGGTCGGCCGTATAAGTAAGGGTGAAATTTCGCGACTGCCCACACCAACGCTAGGCATTCCCGCTCTGTGATGGAATAATTACGCTTCGAGGGGGACAGCAGCCTGCTGGCATAAGCTATCACACGATGCTGCCCACGTTGTCGCTGAGCCAGCACGGCGCCTATTCCGTAACCGCTGGCATCGGTGCGGACTTCGGTCGGTGCCGTAGGGTCGAAGTGAGCCAGAACAGGAGAGGAAGCGAGCAAAGTGGTCAGGTCGGAGAATGCTGCTGCTTGCGAGGGACCCCAGGTAAATGTCTCATCTGGTTTGAGTAAATCTGTTAGGGGCCGAGCAAAGTTCTTGATGAACCGCCGAAAGTAGGAGCAGAGCCCCACAAAGCTGCGGACATCTTTGGCGGTTTTTGGCACAGGAAAGTCCTTCACAGCTTGAACTTTTTCTGGGTCAGGCTGTACGCCGTAAGGGTCAACAATATGTCCAAGCATTGTAATGCAACAATGACCAAACCGGCACTTGGATGAATTCAGCTGAAGGCCGGCGAGGCAGAATACATCAAGAATTTTCTACAGTCTCTCAAGGTATGCTTCAAAAGTGGGAGCAAACACAATTACGTCATCCAGATAACAAAGACACGTAGACCACTTCAATCCATGGAGCAGGGAGTCCATCATTCGTTCAAAGGCGCGGGGGCATTACATAAGCCGAAAGGCATGACTTTGTTTTGGTAGAGGCCATCGGGTGTTACAAAAGCAGTCTTCTCTCGGTCCATAGGGTCCACGGCAATCTGCCAATAACCAGAACGAAGATCGATGGAAGAAAAGTAGGCGGCACCATGGAGGCAATCAAGGGCGTCGTCAATTCGTGGCAGAGGGTATGCGCCTTTCTTGGTGATGTTGTTATGGTAGCGATAGTCCACACAAAATCGCCACGATCCGTCCTTTTTAACTAATACCACCGGGGATGCCCAGGGACTGGAGGATGGTTCAATAATGTCCTTCGCTAGCATCTTATTAACCTCCTTCTGAATGATGCTCCGCTCAAAAGCAGACACTCTGTAGGGACGGCGGTGAACAGGGTTGACATCACCTGTGTGTATGCGATGCTGGACAAAGGACGTCTGCCCTAGAGGTCGGTTGCCAAAATCGAAAATATCCTGGTAGGCCTCGAGAAGATGTTGTAGGGCTTCAACTTGCAGAGGCGGAAGATCAGTGGCGATCATGTTTGCAATTTGACGGCTGCCCGAATGTGTTGCGAGTGGTGTGCGCTGCGGTGAAATAAAGGTGTCTAAGGCAAGCACTTCAATTTGTGAATCGAGCAACGGACACAGGTGGGCCAAGAAAATGCCTTGTAGAAGCACATGATTCATGTAGCCGAACTTTACAAGTGGTAGACAAGTTTTGTTATCTGTGATGCTGAGCACTGTGTAGGGCATTGTAACATTGTGTGCAAGGAGCACGTCAGTAAGAGCCGTAGCGTAATAGTCACCGTCGGGCACAGCTGGTGAGCACAGAAAATCGATGTACGTCACAGTTTTGGAGGGCAGGTGAACAAAGTCGCTGCATTGTAATCGGCATGTAGGTTGGTACGAGGCATCACTGATTTGTGGCAGTTCAAGGCGGAGCACACTAGCGGAGCAATCAATCAGAGCAGAATTGGCGGCAAGAAAATCGAGGCCTAGTATGAGGTCGTGGGGACATGTTGCAAGCACGGTAAAAAGGACGACCACTTGATGACCGACTACGGTAAGTTGAACTGTGCACATACTGACGACAGGGACTGTTGCGCCATCTGCAACTTGGACGACATTGGTCAAGGGGGGCATGAGGACCTTCTTTATGCGACGACGAAAATGCAAACTCTTAATAGAGACGTGAGCGCCCGTATCAATCAAAGCTTCAACAGATGTGCCATCAACATATACTTCAAGGGTGTTCCGGCTGAAACGTAAGGGCAACAGAGGATTTTTGGGTAAGGTCGACAGGGCAGCTTCACCTCCAGAAGCTGCGCAGCCTACTTTTCTGGGGACATGCGGCGGTTAAACGATGGCGAGGGAGAGCGGCGACGCGTATTTGAACGAGAAGGGCGACTTTGAGGCGGCGGCGACGACGTGACAGGGTCGCCGTAGTCTTCAGGGTCAGTAAGTGCTGTAGACTCAGTGCGGGTCGGATAACGGTGGTTTAGTGGACGGAATGAGTTACTGTAAGTGGGGTACGAGCCGGAAGACATAGATGGCCACTGGCTGCGGCAGTAACGAGCGATGTGTCCCGCGCGACCACAGCGGAAACAGATTGGCTTATCATCAGCTATTCGCCATTCAGACGGGTTTCTGATTCGAATAGAGTACGGACGGCGACGCCTCGTGTCCACAGAAGCTATCAAGGGATCAGTATTACCCAGGGTGGGTGCAGTGGACAGGATACCCAAGTTTGCGAATTCCTAGCGGACAACAGCCTGGATCAAGGAGACAGCTGGCGTTGAGGCGTCGGGCAACGTCGGTTTGTTGGCAGCCGGGTAAGCGGCCTCGAGCTGACGCCGGACGATGCGCGTCACGTCTTCGGTTGTAGACGGGTGACAAGGAGTGGCTTCGTAAGACGACGTTGCCGCGGTGTTGGGTAGGCGCTGGAACTCCTGCAAAATGTGTCGACTCTTCGCCTGCTCGAGACGGCGGCACTCTTTGATCACGGCGTCGATGGTCGTTTCGTTCGTAAGTACAAGCAGGCTGAACGCATCGTTGGCGATTTCTTTTAAAACGTGTGAAATCTTGTCGGGCTCAGTCATGTTGGGATCGGCCCTTTGACACAACGCTAAGACGTCTTGAATATAAGTCAAGTAGGGCTCAGTGGACGTCTGTGTACGTACGGCCAATTGCTTTCGGGCATCAAGCTGTTGACCAAACGGGTTGCCAAAAAAGGTCGCGAAGCTGTTGTTTAAACATTTCCCAGCTTGTGATTTCGTGCTCATGGGTCTCAAACCAGATGCGAGGGGTTTTGCCAAGATAGAAAATGACATTCGCAAGCATAACGGTTGGGTCCCAGCCATATTGCTTGCCGACGCGCTCGTACATACTAAGCCACTTGTCCACATTCGCATTGTCCTCTCCAGTAAAGGTACCGGGATCACGGGGTTGCGTTAGGACGACGTACCGGGTTGCTGTCGTTGCCGAGGTAGGTGGCAAAGCCGTATCCTCACCCAAAGCCATGGTAGCAGACTTAAGGAGGCGTCCACTGCGTAGCTCCGTTGTCAAAAGAGCACCCAGCACTTCCACCAAAATGTTACGTGGAAAATAACAGTAGTCAGTCCGCAGCCACAACGCAGCTCGCCGACAACGTCCACCTCTTCACTCTTAGTCTGAGGCACCTTTCTTGGGTATGTCCCACTATGCCCTGTTTCAGTCAGCCAAAATCAACAATATCATAGTTGACATTGGGTCCATATGACGTGACAATCGACATCATAGAGGATGGATGAAAGCCCGTTTTAGCTTTACACATGGGGGTGTTGTGCCATTGAGATTGAAGTACTGAATAACAGAATTGCGGCCTTTACATCGTTCTTATAAAAAATTGCGGCTTTACATCGCTCCTATAAAAAATAACTGCTGAATTTACATACTCATCAAGAAAATAAAAATTCATTGATGCCATGGACACTTATTTGTTGATTTTGTGAATTTCGAGAACTTTGCATTTGGTTAATTGGAGTATTTTTTCCTGGTCCAGCAAAATCCAAATTCACAAGCTTTTAGAGTATTACCATACGTCCACGATGCAAGCTTATATACTTATGTTGTAACCGACCCTACAGACACTAAGAACAGAAAGAATCGATAATGCCGCTGCGACCACTCGGACCAAGTCAGCTCACCTGAAACAAGAAGAGAGTTTCTGGGAGCGAACTCGGTTGCCTGAAGGACACAGTTCGCCATTCCATGAAGGTTCTGAAAAAAAGAAAAGAAGACAGAAAAAAGAAAAAGCAGGTGAAAATCCAGAAACAGATCACTACTAACTGAAAAACCCTAACAAGCAATTCACTTTTTGAAAGCCTCAAACTTTTGTGACCCATTTTGTTTCGGGCTTTCCCACCAGAACAACTGAATGAATGTTAAAAATTTTGATTCTGATAACATCAGTTAAATATAATTCCCGCCAAAATTGACATATTAGGTCACCGGGTCTCCTAAAACCACATAGAATTAATGTTTGCTCATAAGGGACAGTGCAGGCCTCCAAAAGATGCTGTCTAAATCTAGGTCATATCGAGGTGGCGTCATGAACATTCAGGCAACATCGCTGCCAGTCTTTCTTTTTTGCACATTTCCTGGCTTACCAAAAGTCTTCTCATGACAAGAGCAGGATTTTTACTACTCTAATAAAGGTAAATTACCAACGCCCAACTTGTCCTTTACAGTTTCTGTTCTAGGCACTTGAGCATTGTGCTTCACAGTGGCCGTTTCTTCCGATGCTGTGCTACACTGTCATGTCAACCCAATCGAGTCGTTCATTGGTGGCCTGAGCACAGAGTGACACTTCTGTTTGTATACCAAGCATTTCTGGTTGTGCACCTACTTTCAGTCTTCTGAACGTTTGGCAAGTCTTCTAAAGAATAAAAAACTCGTACGAAATTTAGCAGTTCTGCTTCAAGTTAAAGAGTTGCATTAGATACATACGATATTGAAGCATAAGTTTACATTTGAAACAAGGGCAATTCAACTATATGTATAATTAACCAGAACTTATTCAATGAGTCCGTTTAAAGAGCAGACCGTTTTCATGCGAGCAGCTGGAGTTGTTTGCAGCACCTGGCAGAGCAGATCTCAACCACGTGCTTCTTTCAATGTGGCCTCTTGAGATTGGCACTGACAGCACGACGAACAACAAAGTTCACCCAACGAATACATCGGGGCCTACGAATCTCGAGAAGCGAGTACCATTACTAGATGCCTACGTCAAAAAGAATTAGAGCCGCTTCCAATTTTTAAAGCAGAATTCGTTGCTTCCCAGTTTTTATTTCTTTCTCAAGTCTTTGTTTAGCGCGTGTGGTAATACGTATTCTTTAGTCTTGTTCATCGCTCAATATTTTCAAAGAATCTACACTGCCACGCTGAAACTTTGCCATCAGTTCCGGCGAACCGCGAAACTTCATTTTTTTTTTTTTTATAAACCAGCCAAGAACCAAGCAGTCTCGTCTCACCTCGCTGAGCAGCTCCCAGGTGACAACCTGGACAGCCTGGTCGCCGAGGCTATGCACCACCGTGCCGTAGACGCGCAGCAGGGAGCCCATCCTGTCCAGGCATTCGTTGGGGTCCTCCTGTTATTTTCGCCAGAGCAGACACCATACAGCAAAAGCAGTGTAAGCGCACACACTTATACAACAGCTTCAAGCATTACGCTGACCGAACTAACAAAACCCTTTTGAGCAGTCCATAGCTGTTAGCAGCCAGAACAATTTTACAAGGCTTTCCTATGCTCAGCATTACATATGATTTTACAATAGGGCACTCAAAAACAATCTTATACAAAGTATGCCAGCGCCGATCACAAGAAAATAGAAGTGTATAGAGTTTGTTGTGTGCCCGCTACATGGAGCCTATCGTGCTTACACTACAGCAGCACTGAGAAATACACTCAAACCTCGATATAACGAATCTAGATATAACGAAATATCGGTTTTAACAAAGTAAACGAAAAATAGTCTTGCAATGTACGTAGTGTTAGGAATAAACCTGTATAACAAATTTTCAGATATAACAAACTTATTTTTGTATAAGATGCAATGAGGTTTGAGTGTATTCATTACTGTATGCTTGTACTCACAATATTTGCCTACACTCAGCCCCTTAACAAAAGTTTTGATGCAGCCTTCGTTACCAACATGCTTTGCACTTGCCTTGCGATTTCTGTAACAAAAATAAGGTGCAATTTTTTAGGAGGGTGGGGGAGAGAGGAGTCTTGAAATGTGTTTTGTCAATAGTGACATAGTGGGATACAGTCAAACCTCGATATAACGAACATGGATATAACAAATTATTGGCTATGTTGAACTACCGACAGAAAGTATAAAGAATTACATGTACGTATTTTAGCCTTTTTATAGCAAACGAACTTGGGCGCACAATGGATATACCGAATTTCATGGACCAGAATACGAGCGCATCGGGAGTGCATATTCGGCTTCTTCGCAGTACAGCGGCAGTTAGGCGGACCTGCGTTTACATCCGATGCGCCTGTAGCGCCTTATGCGGTGTAGCGCCGTATACAGCAAACAACGATTTTTTTTCATGGCTTCTGAGATCGGCAAGGTTCACTCTCTAAGGATACGGCCGTTTACTAAAATCTCATGCGCCTGACGCGGCGGTAGGATTGAACGGCCTTGACTATCGACAACGTGGATGCGTCAGTTTGCATGCCGCCATTCCGGGCTAGTGGTTGCTTGGTTGTGGGTGTGTGTGGTGTTTTATTCGTTTGTGCGTTTTTGCGGTGCTAGGCGGTGTTGTACATCATCACCATAGCGCGAAACGGGAAGAAATGGACTACCTTGACGTATGCGACGAAACTGGAAAATGGAAAATATTTGCCGTGTCAAAAGAGGTGAAAAGAAGTCGGTCGTTGCTGATGCTCTCAACGTACCTCGCAGCACATGCTGAAGCAGAAAAAAGAAATTGTTCAGCAAGACAGCGGAAAACACCAACGCACGGCGTATTCAACCCGCTGTCTTCGAACGAGTCAAAGAATGTCTTCATAAATGGTTTGTCGAAGCAAGGCCTAGAAATATACCTGTGTCAGGGCCAATGCTGCACCAAAAAGCAAGAGAGTTCGCTTTTATCCTTGATGTCAAAGATTATAGTGCCAGTGCAGGGTGGCTGCAACGATTTAAAAACCGGTACAACATTGTCGGAAAAGCTGTCATGGGCAAAAGCGAGTCGGCGAACGCCGCAGCGATGGACAAGTGGCTGAAAGAAGAGTGGCCTCAAATTCGTGCCAGATATCAAGCAAAAGATATTTTCAACATGGACGAAACGGGCTTCTTCTGGCAGATGCTGCCGCGCCAAACTCTAGACACCCGCAGGCAGAAATGTCATGGTAGCAAGCAAAACAAGGCTCGAATCACGGTCCTACTTGCCACGAACATGGATGGCTCGACAAAACTTCGTCCATTTATGATTGGCAAGTTCAAGACACCGAACTGTATGAGACGCTGCCGCGACCTACCAGTCACCTATGCTTCCAAATGAAAGTCATGGATGACACGAGAGTTGTCAGGGAAATGGTTAAGGGAGTGGGATACGCAGCTTGGGGATGAAGGCAGAAAAGTGTGTCTCCTCGTCGACAACTGCTCGGCACACTTCACAGATGTTCCATTGAGCAATATTGAGCTCAAGTTTCTGCCGCCCAACATCACCTCCAAGCCCCAGCCTCTAGACCAAGGGATCATCTGCGCCTTCAAAGCGATTTACAAGCGAAGGCGCTTCGAGCGGCTGCTCATTCGTCTTCGAATTAACGAAGACCTGAAAATTGACTTGTTGGTTGCCATACAGATGTTGAAGACAGCTTGGGAGAGCATGAAGAAAAAGTCGATCGCGAACTGCTTTCAGCACGCTGGCTTCACCGTTGGCGCTGAGGCAGTTGAAGAGCCCACTGAAGATGTTGAAGGCTCTGAAGAGGTTGTCGAGCTTGACGAAATGTGGAGCGATCTTTCGTGGTTTGTGGGCGATGCCTTGGACACTCTCACACTGGACGACTTCGTTGGTGACACCGACGCGCCAGAAGCAGTTGCCGAACTGACTGACGCAGAAATCGCTGCGGAGGTGAGACACGCCAGCGAACCGGGATTGAAGCAGCGGAAGTTGAAGATGCTGTCTTCGTAAACATTCTCTTGCCAATCTCTAGCGAGGCTTTGGCTGGTTTGGCTTTTGCGTGGCACTATTGCAGCACGATGGAAGGCACCGGGCTCAAGTTTGTGGAATGCCTCGACATGGCAGAGCAAGACATTATACGCCACGCCATCAACAAAAAGAAAAAAAGAACAAGCCACGTTGAACAGGTTCTTTTGGCCTCAATAAAAGTATTTTTGTTCAAGTAAATGTCTTGTCAGTTCTTGTCATGCTGCCGACCTATTCACACTAGGGTTTGGCAATTTTTCAGCGCAGTTTCTTATAGCGAATTTGGGCTATAGCAAACTATTTTGCAAATTTTCTGGAGTTCGTTATAATGAGGTTCGAGTGTAGTTGGTCCAATGTATTAAGCAGTTTTGTAAAAAAAATTAAAGCAGACAAGATAAGGAAACAAATAACGAAGCAGCTTGTGTACGTGTTGTGCTTGCTTTAAGCATTCTAACTTATGCCGACAAGTAATGCGTCTCCACAAAAATTATATTTTCTCCTGTACGTCGTTATCCATGCCAGATACAAAGAGTTTTCAAAGCTATAGTTGGGGTGCGAGTCACCAGCGAATTTCAGTGCGCAAGTTCCCTTCATGGCACAGCTCCATGGTAATGCAAAAAAGGCGGCTTCACAACAACATGCAGGCATTGCTGGACTGTGTAGCTGGGCTTAGCTGAGCGAGCATAAGCAACACTCGCCTCAAATAGCAACTGAGCATTTATCCATTCCGAAGCTCAAGAAGAAAAATCATGTGGTTCTTTCGAATCACCAAAACCCGGACCTCGTTGAGACGTGTTGGCGCGACGCTCCGGCTAGCTGAAAACTTGACCAAATGTGGGCCATCCAGCAGGCCCGGGAAGTGGCAGAAAGACTAAACCTTACCACAACCACTCGGGTGGCCTAAGCCTGGTCGCTAATCTGCAGGTTCTAAATAGTTTTGTCCATCCATCCATCCTCATGCATGTGCTCTTTGCATTGTACACAAAAGCATAGTTCAGCAGTGCTACAGGATCTTTTATTTTTATTTATTTATTTAGTTATTTTTGAAATTCAAATTGGCTTGAAAATGCAGGTGCGGGCTATGTGCAGAGGAAGGTTATGCACCAGTAAATACAATGTTTAACTGACTGACTGGAAGGTAAAAAATTATTCGAAATATTATTTTAGTTTATACAATTAAGATTTTTTTCACATACCCATATTATTTGGATAAGGTTTGCAGTTCCTATTATGTAAAAATGAATTTGTGGGCGACTACACCATAAAGAAAAGCCATATTTTGGAACAAATATATCTTGGCACAACGATGTCAATCGCATTTTTTACTGACTTGTTAAGGTTTAACTGAAGTACAGATAAACATTCTCGCCTAAGCTATTATTTAAGGTGCAAAAATACAAAACTGAACAGATAACCCAGGACACACAGTCTTTTGTGTCACGCATTTTCTATTTCGTGTTGCCCACTTTCTCGAACCATTGCAAGTTACAAGCACAGTGTAAGAATATACAGCTGCTGACAGTCTTCTTGCAACGCGTTGTAAAGCGCAATCCCAGAGCGCCCAGATAATGTTCAGGAACATTATCAGTTATCTCCCAGCTTCATCGATGCCTTCTTAGATGGTGCTACGGCGAGCGGGGTCAGCCGTCTCAGTCTCGGCGACACGCTCGGCCGAAACGTGCATGCTGCCGATTCTGGGTCATTTAGTTGGCATGTGTGACCGCGCTGTTTTGAAGCCAGGTTCTTTTTGTTCACAAATGTTTAATGCAATTCTATCGACGAAGGTGACATCAAACAGCTGAATAGCTCCAGAAATGGCTAGAACGTGTTTTGTACCTAATTGCCATTCTGGCTTCAGACTTGTGCGGAGTGTGTGCCTCTCTTCAAAGTGCCGTCTGACGGTTGATTGATTGATTTGTGGGGTTTAATGCCCCAAAATCACCATATGATTATGAGAGACGCCGTAGTGGAGGGCTCCAGAAATTTTGACCACCTGGGGTTTTTTTAACGTGCACCCAAATCCGAGCACACGGGCCTATGACATTTCCGCCTCCATCGGAAATGCAGCCGCCGCAGCCGGGATATGAACCCGCGAGCTGCGGGTCAGCAGCCAAGTACCTTAGCCACTAGACCACCGTGGCGGGGCTGTCTGACGATGATCGTTGACATAAATATGTGAATTCACATCGTAACATCTATCCACGAACAACCGCATCGCTTTAGTGCGATGTATATAAAATATTTGTGTGGTACAAATATTTGTATATTTCGTAGAACAACTGCACTGCTGTTGTGTGCTTGGTATGGAATACTTGTGCATTTCAAATAATTATATCAGGTTCAAAATGAACAAGCGCAACTATGGTTTAACAATTTCCTGTGTAAATAAAAGCAGTGATACGCATGAAACACGTTTCTGGTGCCATAACGATTCTCCTTTAATAGAGGGGTAATAATTATTAATGGGGTTGGACAGGTGAAAACCAAGATTTGATTACCAGGGACACCATAGTGGAGGGCTGTCTAATTTTTACTATACGGGGCTGTTTAACATGCCCATCTAAGCACGAGGAAGTTCCTTGCATTTGTTCCCACGGGGAAATATTTTGATGCAGGAATAGCATGCTGGATAACATTGTTTTTTAATTATTTTTCTTTGCATCGAGCAATACCGTGAACAGAGAAAAATACTAGTGTGCGTGAGTGGAACTATTTGTGTTGACGACATTTACAACCTGCACAAGGCATTTTAGTGTTAATGAATCCTTAAACCTGGTAAAGTTTCCCCTTTTAATCTGAAATAACAAATTTTCTTCGTGCTTTAAGTCTTACTCACACCGCTTGGAAAAAGAAAGTTGGGGAGGCAGAGAAATTTCAATGTGCCAGCACCCCTCTTTGTGTACGTTTGCCGCAGCGCCATCTGACGGCTCGTAGCACAGTGTGCCCACAAGACGGAACATTATCTGGCCGCTGAGGCATACTCAGCGTCAACACCTGATTATTCTTACACCATGGTCACGAGTCAGATCGAACTTGAAACACCTTTCATCGTACTGAAGCTGTTGCTATATGGCACACATCGGCCACAGTTATAATTGCCGAGCACTAGGCTCTTTATAATTGCCCGCTAAGCAAACCGCAACATGCTCGACATGAGAGCGTGGAGCAAGTTTTCAGCTCGGCACTTGGGCACCCTTCACCGAAAGCAATGCAACTGCGTAAACACACGGACACCGTTTTGCAAAGAAGAACCAAGGAAGGGAAAGAGGATGGGGAAGGTGCCATGCACTCACGCTGAAGAAGGCCGGGTGCGGCTTTCGGTAGCTGATCTTGTACTTGCGCTAGATGACACGAGAGGCATTGCATGGGATTCAAAGTGAAGGATTAGAACATGCTTGTGGGAAGAAGATGCAATCAATGCAAGCAAAAAAACCATTCCAGTCCGAAGAACGGAAAGCGGCAGGCCTCGAAATATGACAAATGCGCCTTTTCTCTCTGTCCCGATGCTGCGGACCAGCGCAAAGTGAGATGTCAGGCAGAGATGATGGCAACAGCAGTACTTGATAGGACTCAAGCAAAGAATACAGTGCACTCTCAGTAAATTGAAACCAGTTAAATGAAACTGCTGCTTAAGCGGAACGGCTTCCTCTAGCACAATTGATTTTGTTCCCGAATTCTGCACCCTTGCTCATCTCTCAGTTAATGTAACTCCTGTTAAGTGAAGCACATTTTTCTGGTCCCCTCAGGTTTTATTTAACGAGAGTCTACTGTATTTCAAATGCCTTTGCATCCCTTGTCATTAACCCCTTGGGAAGATGTATTTAATAATCATAGCCAACTTTTCAAGAACAACAAATTCTATAAAATATTTTAAGGGAGCGTTGTAGCACTGCCATATTGGGCCGAAGCCTAGCTTTTGTGTATTTTTAACCATTAAACATATAGCAGTACAGTAGGCACGTACGTATGAAAATGGCTGGGCTGGTGCATACCACATTTCATGAACTTATTACTCCATGGCATAATATTGAAAAATAAGTCATCCGTTAAACAGGCCAGGATGATGGTGCACATGTGCCTTATGTAAAATCATCTTTACGTTAAAGAGAAATAGGAGAGTTTCAATTACTGTCCCTTACTTTAATCAATGCTGCGATGAACTGTTACATAAAACTGCACGTGATTGAAGAAGTCGAGCCCCAGCATTTCTGTCAGGGCACTGTACTACGGTGCCAATGCTCCGCCTCGTGGCTTCCTTATCCGCCACCTTTGCGTGGTTAGGCGTAAGAACACACTCGAGCAGTTCCAGAGAAAACTGCCGCTCCACTCACATTGACGAGATCCTCAGCGTATGCCTCTAAATCCTCGACGAACTGTCCGAGCAACGTGGCACAAAAGTTTGGGTCGGCGGCCCAAAAGGGTCCAAGCTGTTCCAGGGCATCGCCCGTGCGCCGGGCCAGAGATTCCGAAGGTGCGTCGATGTGCCACCCGACAAGGATGTCGACGGCGTCATGGAAGTAAGACGCGGCAAAGGCCTCGGGGTCCTGTTCCGCTGCCCAAAGGGACAGCGCGCATGCTGACAGCAACAGTTCACAGTCGTCGGCCGATTCGAGCATGGTCTGGGCACGGCCCATCACGGTCTGCACGTATAAGGATATCGCACAGATTATGCATGCTGTTGCAGTTAGTCTAACCAAAGCATTCTTGGTTGTTTGGAACGAGTGCCTTTGTCATCTAACATCTGAATGCACAATAGAACCGCGTTAACATGTTACCATTTCGCAAGATTTCCCAGTGCCAATGTTCGCCACACTGTTACCAAGCATAATAGTGCAATGTCTTACCGACTTTGAATTGCACATTTTTCTGGACAGTGCACTATTTTCAGCCTTTTCTTTTAAAAAAATGCGTGAACAGGGATCAATCGTATAAAACACGTGACTATGCTGGACATACTTTCACTAGGAAATGTCTCAATAGCAGCATAAGGGGCTCCACAGAGCAGATGCCACCATCAGAAACCAGTTTAACACACACCGCAGTTTTGCTTCAAGCTGTCTCTCAAAGGGGTTTTTCAGGCAGCCATTTTCCTTGATCTGTTTAATTGGCATTTGTACTTCCTTGCAACAATTGAACTGACACCACAGAACAAATAATCTATAACAGCAGCTAATATTTCAAACAATGTTCACAATGTCAAAAACAGCAATTAGTGTATGAACACTTGAACACACTTCCTGCCATTCTGGTTTTTGTCCAAATCCCTGATTTTTGTTTCAAGGTGGCTTTTCCACCATTTTTTTTTTTAGTACTGTAAGGCTGCCACAAAACTTCTACATAGGCTTGGTGCAATGTACGATTCTTTTTAGTAAGCACCCAAGGTTCCGCAAAATTAAACATTTATTGCATTCTTTCATTGCCACATGCGCATTGCTTCCAGCTAACAGCAAACATGCCAGATATAATGAGTCATGACAACTACGATTGTGTTACGCTTTACGAGAAACAAGTTGGACGAAAACTATAACGACACAGCTAAAGAGAAAGAGACCATTCCAACCTGCAAAACCTCAGAAGCAACTTGGGGATTTCCCTTCAGCACCTGCAAATCAGAAATCAAGGCTTGAAAAAGGTCTTCATTAAGACAAGCGAAACAATAACGTAAATGCGACGCATCAAATGAATAGGCATGCATCAAGAATCGACAAGTTTTCAGTAATTTCCATACGCGATCACACACACACTGTTTGAAGCTGTCACATTTTCATGCTGAAAACAGGCATTGTGAGGGGAAGCTAATGCTTGATAGAAATAAGGAATTTGCAGCAGCCAAATCTTCACCTCCCGTACGAATGGCAATAATAGGGCATGCGAGTAATGAAAGTACCAGCCCAATAATATATAATAATCATGGGATGAAATGCTGAACTCAGTTTTCTTTTTCTTCATTAACTGCCGTAGTTACGAGGCAAACATAGTCATATGCTGCTCAATTTAGAATGCCATAGTCACCCGTGACTACTAATGAGCTACTTTATCTCCGCCTACCCATCAACACTGGATGTTCCATGTGAGAACACCACTAAATCTATGCATGTCGGTGCATGGTCACTTCTCTGCTTTGCAACATGTTTAATAAAACGATACAGAGAAAAGAAAACCTGCTTCAGCATTGCAAAAAAAATAAATAACAGGAAGTAGGCTAGCACCAAAATATGAACCAATGTGGCCTCACCTCCAACAGTGCCTTCAGCAGGCAGATACGAGACTCATCCACGATGCTTGTGTCATATATGTTCAGTAGCCAGTCCACAAATCTGCACAACATGGAAGCAAAATTACGTTACTGATCTTCTGGTGCTCGAGATATCGTTGTGGACTAGGCAATGGACTTTGAAACGTGTTTAAAATCACATGCAAGTTAAAGAGCACTTTTTTTTCATGTTAGCAATAAGCTTATCTCACGAGGCAAGAATTGTGATGGACTGGCTGCAAATGTGACAATGTTGATTGATGACATGTGGGGTTTAACGTTCCAAAACCACCATATGATGAGACACGCCGTAGTGGAGGGCTCCAGAAATTTTGACCACCTGGGGTTCTTTAAGGTGCACCCAAATCTGAGCACACGGGCCCACAACATTTCCACTTCCATCGGAAATGCAGCCGCCACAGCCGGGATTCAATCCCGCGACCTGCAGGTCAGCAGCCGAGTACCTTAGCCACTAGACCACCGCGGCGGAGCGAAATGTGTCAACGTTACCTAATACTGTTTCATGGCACTCGAAATATTTCAAGAAAGTAAAGGATTCAGGCTTGTTCTCTCTGCTAAATGTGACCGAATATATCCAACCGATATTTAAGCCAAAGAAAACATAGGGGTCATTATTTGTTGTTCTAAACAGTGGCATTAGTAAATATGTCATAAATTGAACTGAATTAGAATGGACGTGGATGAAAAAATGCCCTTTCTGTCAGTAAGACATAGCCGCGCAACCCAAAAGTTTTGGGTTTCGGCCTACAACTCTCAAAAGTGATTCAACTATACAACCTACCACCTAAATAGATTCTCAAGTAATAATACTATAATGTGGGGTCTTGCATCCCAAAATTACAATACAATTATGGGGTCATTTGGTTGATGCAACACACACGATACTGTGTTTCTTTTATTTCTGTGCTTTTTTTTTTCCATTGTCTCGTGTGTGCTGTACGAACCCACTCAAACTTTCATTCTTATGAAGGTTATGGGGCATGCCACTGCGGAGGGCTCCAAAAATTTTGACTATATGTTGCTTTTTTTTATTGGGTACCTAAATCTGAGTACAGGAGCCTCAAGTATTTCAGAACTACCAAAATGCGGCCACCACGGCTAGGATTCAATCCAGTGACTTCCGGGTCGGCGATCTAGCCCCTTAACCACTAGGCCACCCTGGGAGATTGATTCACAAGCATAGGCAGGCAAACATAAGCGGAACTCGCTTAAAAAATATATTCTGCGCTTTAGACTCACTCGGACTCGCCAAAATTTTCCTGAACCGCACTCACACCTGCTAAAATTTTCTTTGAGCGGACTTGCTCAGACTCAAACTGACCAGAATAAAATACACCCAGACCTGCTCGGATTCATGGCTCAATTTGAGTCTGAGTGAGTCGACTCATGAGCAGTGCACTCACTCCTTGGCCCTCTCGCCGAGCAAGGTGCCGTAGGTGGATATGCAGGCAGACAGCTCAACGCGGACATCGTGGGGCAGCCGAGAGCGCTTCAGGGACTCCTCGAGCACTCGTCGCAGGTAGCCCTGGTGCTTGGCCACCCAGGCCGGAGTAAGGCGCTCGCGGACCTCCCGCAGGGCCCACGCGGGCACCTCATTGTACACGTGGCCCAGGGCACTCCACAGGTCGTCATCTCCTGGGCAGCACAAAAAATGAAAACGACTCAGTACGTTCACGAAGGTTCATTCTGACAGACACCAAAGAGCAAAACAATTTTCTCGCGTATTAGTAAAGAACAATTTTGCAATCCCGAAAACGCCACTTTTACCACAACACGATGCCTCTCAAGCGAGAAAACGCGCGAAAAAAAAATGTGGGTGGCAACGCCACCAAGAGATTTCTGCATCCAGCACCACGACGTAAGAAATCTTGAAGCTGTCTACTGGGTCCTACGTAGCTTTCAATCATTAAAGATTAAGTATGTTGTGATTTGTGGGTGCTATCGACTTATCATACGAAGTTTTAAAAAATTTCATCGAGCCAATGGCCCGGATACCAAAAATACATTCTTAAATTTCTTACAAGAAGCGCGAAGATTTTGGCATGTAATTTAAAGATGAAACTTCAAACTTCATTTTCTCCGCTAACGATGAACTTATGACAGTGAAACATATCATGACATTTGAGTCAGCCAAATGGGCAAATAGAGGCTTTAACTTTTCTTGCAGACTTCGTACGTGTGCTGCAGAGAAAGAATTTCCTATATCTATGCTAGCTAAGAAAATTTCTATGCTTCACATTTTACCACAAAGATAACTTGTCATTTGTAACAAAATTCTCTATTGACCTTTTCATCGATTGATTTGTGGGGTTTAACGTGCCAAAACCACCATACGAATATGAGAGACGCTATTGACCCTTTCATTAAGTTAATGTCACAAAACAAAGAACAAACATGCCAAAAAAGTTATAACATAGCAATGTTAAGAAAGGCGCATCATAACATTAGTACACCGTTTTCTTTTTAACAAAACTAAATTTCTGCAGGTTGTAGTTGGCAGCTTGTGTGCACGCATTATGTTAATGCCCATATATACTGAAAAGAGTGGACAGGTGAATGACCACCAAAGTAGTTCAGTTGGTAGAGCATCGGACGCATTATTTCAAGGCCACAGATTCAAATCCTGCCAGTGGCAAGTTATCTTTTTGTACACTTTTCTTTCTTTACATTTACATCACAATGACTTAATTACATCCCCTATACTTTCCTTGGCATCATTGTCTGTCAATTCACATTACTATTGTGCATAAAAAGAAATAGAGCCCTTTAATTTGCACTTCTTTCCTTCAATACAATTATGAGGCACACCATCGTCCGCGTCTGTGAATCAGTGGCTACGGTGCTCGGCTGCTGGATCGAAGGTCGCAGGTTTAATCTCGGCCGTGGCTGTGGCGTTTCGATGGGAGGCGAAGTGGTAGAGGCCCGCGTACTGTGCGATGTCAGTGCACGTTAAAGGGACACTAAAGAGGAACAATGACTTGGTTTAAATTTACAAAATTCACCCTCATAACTCCAATGCCATGTTTCACTACCATAAGTTCATTACTAGTGGAGAAAATCAAGGTTGAAGTTTTCTTTTTAAATTTCATGCCAAAATCTCTGCGCCCAACCTAATGAAATTCAAAGCGTATTTTCAGTATCTTTGAGGCATTGGCTCGACGAAATTTTCTCAGGCATCATATGCTAAGTCTACGGCAGCCACCGATTAGAATTTTTTATCGACTAAAAGCTACACAAGACCCAGTAGATGCCTTCAAGATTTCTTACGTCACGGTGTCTGGTACGGGAATCTCCATGTGGCGTCACCCCCCTGCATTTTATTTTCACGCATTCTCTCTCTTACTTAGTATCGTGCTGCGATAAGAGTGGTGTTTTTGGGAATTGTGAAATTGTGCTTTACTAATACGCAAAATATCGTTTTTAGAGTTCGCTTTAAAGAACACCAGATGGTTCAAATTTCTGAAGCCCTCCATTACTGTATCTCTCATAATCATACCTTGGTTTCTTGGTTGTGGGTGAGCACACGCAACCAGCGTCCCTTTCCCTTTTTACGGCAGCGTGAAAGCCTAGTTGCGGGAATACCGGCACAGCCGGCGCTCGCGATTCACCCCTTTCCCGGCGCGCGGAACGGTCCCCCCCCCCTCAGTGAGAAAGGGTATTATTCTAGTCAGGCAGAGGGAAACCGAAGCAGTGGACAAAACTGGCGTGCGGACGACCGCACGCTCTCTCTGACACCGGCCAGGAACCAAGGAGGTCGGACCCGGAAGCCCCCCTGCGAGCCGAGGACGTCAACGACAAAGGAGTAAGCATCTACTCTTGTTTCTGTACTATATCCTCGAGACATTTGCGTGCTGTTAATAACGCCTAGCAATAAAGTGTCGTTTTGTTGACCTAGCCTGTTGCCTTATTCGCCCGAACCCGTGTAGCTGCAATGAGACGAGCTACGGATAGGGGACGTTAATCGTGCACGGTACGACTGTGCGGCTGAAACATTAGTTAGGCTTCTGCGATAGCCGTACGTAGGACGTACCCCTACATGGTTTTGGGACGTAATACCCCACATATTATTATTATTATTATTAAGCACACTATAGTGGGAGAGAGCATGAATTTGGGCACATAAGATTGGTTAGAGCAACGTTACTAGATTCTTTTTTCAGTTTGCAAACTGCGCCGCCGCAGGTGTGACCCACGAGGGGGCGCGCTTGTCGTTTTTGGACCGGTCTGACGAGGATCATGGCGGTTAGGCGCACACCACCGACCAGGCCGGCGAAGCAAAACAGCAGATGCTTCTTCGTAGCCTGCAAGTATAGTGCAAGTGTGTTCCGTGGCAATCGCTATCATTGTGTGTCTCAGCGAGATCGACGACACTCGCGCAGTTTGTTCTCCCACTGCTGCTTACTGCGATATCATGGTGACAATCGACGTTGTGTCTCACTTGCTGTTAGCTCTGTTGTGTTATCGTGCCGGTTGTTAGCTGCATAGCTCTCATGCGACGTGTGACGGTTTTTTGATGTTATAAAACATGCCTCGCTGCTTTGTCACTGGCTGCCGAAGCGGCTTCGACTCAACGTAATCTGCGACCGAAAAAAGGCACTTTTTCAAGCCACGCGTTGATGAGGTGGGTCTTCAACAATGGCAATGAGCAATACCGAGATTGAATAAGGAACTATCAAGATCTTGCACTGTGTGCGACCTTCACTTCCAGGAGGACGATATCTTGACTACGTGCACAAGGTTCACAGTGACGTAGTTTTGATACCGCGTGAACAAAAGTGACTTCCAGTTTGTTTGTAGTAGCGTTCAATAAATTGTGTTCATTTAATAATTGATTGGTATGTGGGGTTTAAAGTCCCAAAACCACCATATGATTATGAGAGACGCCGTAGTGGAGGGCTCCGGAAATTTCGACCACCTGGGGTTCTTTAACGTGCACTCAAATCTGAGCACACGGGCCTACAACATTTCCGCCTCCATCGGAAATGCAGCCGCCGCAGCCGGGATACGAACCCGCTATGTTCATTCAATAAGACTTTGCTGAACTCATTGCATTTTATAGCCTTATAAGGGACATGCATTTATTGAATTCGTGTGCTATCTTTCCTTGAAAAAAAAAAAAAAAGAGATTGTTCGGATCGTAAATTTGAGTTATCAGGAACGAGCAAATTGTTCTAGGCTTTACACTTCCAATATCTCCGGCGGCATCAGGTGAATGTGGTGTGTGCCTCATCATATAACAATAACTAAGGTTATACGATTACGAGGCACGTCGTGTTGAAGAGCTTTGAAAAATTTGGCCACCTGTGGTTTCTCTAACATGCACTTGAATTCAAGTGCATAGTCCTCTAGTATTTACCCTTAAGCCCATTGCAACGGTTTTTTAATATATACAGTTGAATTTCAAAAAACAAGAACACAATACGGCTAAATTAACACAAAGCCAGCAAGATTCAGGCATTGCACTCGCATCTCCGCCATGTGGCACTGCATTAGGCGCACAACTGGTGCTTTAATTGCCCTCTCGTAATAACCTTAATGCGCTATCACGAAAAATAACCCCCACAACGCCAAATTAACCGCAAGAACTTCGTTTAACATTGTGCATAGCATCCATTACGTCGCGGCGACCGGTCAAATGGGATCGGAAGCGCCACCTAGAAAGCGGGAAACGAAAGGGCCCGCGTTTTACCGCGTCGTCCCAGCAGAGTTTGCAAACTGAAGAAAAATCTAGTAACGTTGGGTTAGAGTGCACTCAAATTTAAGCATACTGGTGTTTTTGCATCTTGCCCTTGTTGAAATGCGGCCGCTGCGGTTGGGAATTGAACCCGAGCTCTCAAGCTTCGCAATGAAACACTTTATGCACTAAGCTGCCACGGCTACAATCATCACTGTGCAAATATATCTTAAACTGTAAGCTTTGAAAAAACAGCCTGTTTAGACACTTTCGAGTTGTATTATTGCCATTGAAGAAGCAACTGTTTTATAGCTACTATTGGGCACTGTAATAATATCTGAGGCATCAGGTGAGCATACAGAGCATTTGCGATTGAGGATTTTGTTATTCTTGGCAGCCCGGACATAAATTGCTACAGAGGCAGCGAATAGCAGAGAGGTATGTTTCGAGCTGCTTGTAGTGCTAGTAAGGGTCCTTATAATTCAAAAAATGTTTTGCCATAATGCAAAATAGGAAGTCCAGCGAGACATACTTATGCTTCTGACGCGATCGGACTAAAATATATTACATTCTACTTGTGTATGCATAAGATGAAGACCTATCTGAAATATTAACTTCAACAAATAAAACAAGCTTGGCACTGAGGCCCTTTACAGAGAAAAGGCAGGATTCAGTTGCTCACAGATGAACTGGTTCTTGCCGTTTTACTTGACTTACAGGGCTTTGTCTCTCAAAAGAACATAGGTGGTAATGAAAGAGACAGATTGCTTCTGAACATCCGAAAGTTTTCTACTATGCACAAAATAGTGGACCATTGATATGTATTGTATGAAGACTACCGACATTCAGTGAGGTATACTAAATGTTTATTACTTCCCAATGTTTGTTGAAAGTTCGTGAACTGTGTTCTTGGACATCATAAACAAGCATACAAGCACAGTAAGAATGACTTGCATTGTAGGCAGGAATGTTTATGTAACCTCACCAGTGACTCATGCAACTGAGGGCAAAGTACCATGTTGTGGTTATACACTAGCGCTGCAATAAATTTATGCTGCTTGTGAGACCAGGTTTAAATTGTCAAGAGGCTTGGGAAATGGTGTTCTGAAAAGCAGTTGGCAGCACGATTGTACACAACATTTTAAAAAAATGTTTCTCTAAGCCCAGCGCCGATTAATAAAAATAATCGATTTAATGGTAGTAGTATTATGCTTGTGAACGAGCTTTAAAGATCGGGTGTAAATAGCAAAAGGTGTCAAGCATGCGACTTTCAGCACACGGTCAGAATCCCCATTTCCTTTCAGCAGAAGTTAAGCTGACAAGTCTCACAATCAAATTATGAACATTATTATTGGTAACTGAATGCCTTAGCCCACTTGGGGGGTAACTATACATCTCACAGTTAATGTGACTGAGTGGTTATATTCAATATTTGTGAACCAACAATTTTTTTCCTTTTTGCTATGGTGGTAACATTTTATTTGGATGCTCTTCTCTCAGTAAACGGAACTCCGGTTAAATGAAACACGTTTTCCTGGCCCCTTCAGGTTCTCTTTAACCTGGACCTACTGTTCGTAGATGCTTCCTTGACCAATTATCACTGGCGAGATCGACACCCATTTTCTCTACTGCCCTTTTCTAGTTATTAGCGCATATTTTTCAAAATGAGAATGGAACAAAATTTTTGTATTGCTTTGCCAATGGAATCATCTACTGATGATGGGAACATCAGCAAAAACAACTACGAGAACGAGTATGTGAAAAACAGCTAACATTGACACGCTTATTTCCTCCAAACAGATGCTGACTAGCCCAACAATGTACTCAGTCAAGACACAAAACGTCTTATAGGATGCAGCTTTTCAGAGGCACTTTCTTCAGGCAACCTTACTATGTTGCGAAATTTTGTTCTCAGAGTTGTGAATCGAAAGAATGAAATGAAAATTTCCAACAGTGTAGCTCGCAGATACGACAGCTCTAGTATTAAACAATTCAGTGTTAAAAGTTAGCGGTACAGAAAAGTGCAGACAAATGAAAATAACAGACAGCTCTTTATCAGTTGTGTTAATTAATCACACAAGCTCTGCAATGCTAACTTTTAACATGTATTCCTAACTCACCCTAAAGTTACTCTTTTAAGCAATTCTAACAGCTATCATTTAACAAAAGATGACAACAGATTGAATTCCGGCCAGTTGAACAGCCTTAATGAGTTATCAAACCAATTTCGACCAGTGAAAGCTCGATGTGACAAAATTTTGTACACAGGTAACCAGTCTTTTCAATTCAATAGCGTGCCAAACGAATGCACAGCACTGCTCTTAGCGACTCTGAGGTCACGCCTATATGATGTTATTGAGTCATCATTAGATAAGTGTATTGCATGATCGCAGCTGACGCAGAGCAGTGAACACATTTAGTATCAGATGTAGTCCCCTGCCAAACGCCGCAGTGCTCTTTGTAGCAGGTGGCTTGCAGCCTTTCGTGACGACCAAAGAACACTATCTGACCTCACACACACATTCCGTCGGAGAAAGTAAAGTGCGAATGCGTGTATTTCTGGGAGAATGCTTCTGCAATGCACAACGGTAAGCCTTGTTCAAAACTTTCTGCAGTTGAAAAGAGTTCTAGCAAAGAAAAATTTGTCGTATCAAAGTTATGGCCTCGACCATAAATGAACAACCAATCCTTTTTTCCAGCCTGCCTCTTTTCATTATTATTATTTCTCCTACTACCGGAGAGTAGACACAAAGCGCCGAGATATCGAACATTGTCACAGCAGGCAATCAAAATAAAGTATTCAGTCCCCTTTGAAATTCCAGACAATGCGTGCAGGTGCGGCAATGGCTAAGCTCGCGAAATCTAAAAAAAGCACGCAAGAAGAAAGGCAAAGCAATTTACCTCGCAGCCATCTCGCACGGCTTACACGATGCATGCTGCCTGCTGTTTATGCCACGACGCATCGGTTTCGTTCCTAGCCGTGAGGTTAAAGCCAGTGCGTGCTTTGTCAGGAGCGCGACAATGAGAGCATCACTCATTCCGCTGAAGGGCGCTGCGGATGCTTTGATGACACTACACGTGCAGAAGATGCAGTGTGCCCTACGTTTTCTATAAAAGCGTTGCTGTTGTGTCAGAACTGCCATGGCAACTAGTGCGTTTGCCATCTGACTGAAAGCTGATATAAAAGAGAGGCATCAATGCTGCAGAAGCATGTATCAGTCATTAAATCAATTGCTGAAAGAATGCAGGTAAATGGCTGCTCCATTGTTCTACCCAAGATGAAGTCACATCGGCTAATGCATTTACGTTTGAAATCGACGCAAACGTCGCATATTTCATTATTATTTTTTTTAACTATAGCGTGTGTGAGTGTGTGGCGCTGGCATCGCAAAACCCTGCCGCACTAACGTATACAAATACATATCCGAAGGCTATGCGCGCTCAATACGACTGCGCCGTCAAAACGCAGGCATCGCCGCGTCTTCACGCGTTTCTCGAACCCTGCCGGACTTTACAAACTATGTTGGTCGGGGAGTACACAGAAGGGTAAGCCGTACGATTATTTCGAGCGCAAACATCATTCGCAGTTTCCCTGCAAGCGAAGGAAAAACGCGAGACGATGAGCGCAAGTGCCTTTCGTCCCATAACCTTGCGTGACGGCCAAACAAGCTAAACAGGCGCGACGCAGCTGCAGTGGTAAATAGGTTAAATTGCGTTTCACTTTTGCGAACGAACTGCGATTAATGCGAAACAAGGCGCCTCCACGTGGCGGCAGCCATTAATTAACTTTGGCGGAAACGATAAACCTTTTTTTTTATTTATTTAACTTCCAAACGCGAGGTTAGCTATCCGACAGCCATGTGTTCACAACGTGGGCGGCGATGATCGTCCAAGGCCGTACGGCACTGCTTTTCGACGCTCGCTGGAGCAATCGGAGCGCGCACGATGGGGCAAACAAGTTTCGTAGGCGCCACGGCGTTCCAAATGACGGACCACCCGCGTTCGGCGCTATCGCAGAAGACCAGCGTCAGTTAAAAAAAGATAGCGCGATACAGGACGAACCGCAAAAAAAAAAAAAAAGAAAGAAACATCGTGACGCAACACAGATGCTGAAAGACGTTTTTGGGGGGTCCCGCGCTTCGCCGACAAAACAAATGAACCCGGGATGCCTGCATGGGCAAACGTTACGACATCTAAGCGCTGTTGTGTCACCAAAATAGCGTCGACGAAGCTGCGGCTCGATAAATAAAGGGAAGAGAACTGACCAATGCAAAAACAGATTTTAGCGACTCAACGCACGACCTCCCGCCCAGATACGACGAGCCCGTCAAGTCACCTGATGGTTTCTTGGAATCTCCACGTCCTCGCGACTTGGAAGGCGCGCACGACGGGGGTTTGTGGTCGTCCCGGCGCGGGGAACCATCGGGCGTGCGTTGCTTGACTTTGACGCGGTCCTGGCGCCGAAACACAAGCTGACCGTGGCCGCCTTCGGAGTTCTTGGACGCCCCCGAAGACCTGGGGTTGTCCTTGCGCTCCGGACTTGTAGCAGCGGCACTGTGGTTTGGCGCGCGCGAACGTTCTGAGGCGCGTTCGGTACCGCGGCGGGACGAGACGTAGTCGTCGCGGCGTTCGTCGCCGCCGTGGTGGTTGTGCGACGTCCGAGCCCGCTCTCGGCGCGACTCCTTGGACTTGCTGACGAACCAGCGGCTGCCGCTCATCGACCTACCGTTCGATGCGCTTTTCTCGGTTTCTCACACGTGCAAGAGGCGTGTCACATTTTGCAGCTCAGCTCAGCCGAGTACACCCCCAGCGTGACGATAGAAGAGTACGCAGCGATGATAATGCACAGACGCCATCAGCCTCTGTATTGTTGCAGGTACGCAGTGAACGTTAGTGTAGTAGGAGATAATGTTCACAACATTTAGACTACTGCTGTCAACTTTTATTTACTAGTAAAATATTTATTGCAGCATAAATAATTTTTGGAGAGTTAAAGTTATATTTTTAGAATGCGTTTTAGGACATTTTTTTTTAATGGATTTGCTTGTCTTGATTGGGGTCTTGATAACGAACTCATTTAGTACACTGTAACGAAACCGCCATTTTTGAGTGACGCTACAGTTTCGGTTATGGCTGTGGAAAATCGACCATGATCAATAAGTTCAGATATCAGCCTAATTGCGTGCGTAGTTTTTCTGGATAAAAAGTTATGATAAGCCCCGCTCAATGAATTGCGCCACGTGCATGCATTGGACCCTTCGCGACATCTACAACCTCGTTACAACCAATTTCGTGATGATAGCATTGTATCGGTGGTCATGGTAAAATTTATATGCAACAAGTGTGGTGAGCAAGTAAACATCTGTGTGATGCAATGTAGCTAAACAGCAGATTTTGTTACCGAATTTAGGAAATGATGAGACGGTGGTGTGCTTGTGCGGCGGTTAGCTCATCTTAACATACACATCTTGCCCCTTACGGGTCGCCAAGCTGGTTTCTCAGGAAGGCATTGAAAAATAACACCAAAGAAAACTTCATAAAAGAGACATTTCATGACAACCCAAAGTGAGCTTCGGCCAGCTTCATGTCTTGAAGTCAGCCGAAACGCTAGTACACCACACTTTCCACCATCACAGTTCTTTTCTGTCACATCACAAGTTGCACGAGATAATAATACTAAATAAATGATCGAGTAACAAGGGCGTCTTTTTGTCCCACTACAATAATCATCAATCTTGCGTTTCGTTGCATTGTCGCCACCACTGTTGTGGGACAAAAAGACAAGCCTTTTTACTCGATCTTTTTTTTTTAGAGTGTATGCAGCTTGATGATCCATACTGTTGGCCTTTATGGTTCTCACATCTTTTCTGTGTTATTGGGCCTCCTCTCGGTGCCGTTAGCACAATGCAGTGCGACAGGATGCTTTTTAGATGGCAGCTGCACATATAGGCGAGCTCACCTTGCACTCCTAGTATATACTCACTACTCGTCCGTGCACAATCACGTTTGCAGACTAGGCGAGCTTGAGGAGCCTTTTTGCATTGCATTCTCACTGCAAGGACTTCTTGTCATAGCTCCATGATGGACCGACACCCTCTGCATTGGCTGAAGTCTTGGTCAAATAAATAGGGAGAGAACATGTCTGTCATTTCTTTTTTTTTCCACAGCAAACAATCCAGACAGACACAGATGCACTTAGCAGCCGGTAGTGCTGTCTATAACTGTTGAACTGTCTTAAGATTAACTTTTCCTTTACAACCAGTTGCCTTCTACAGTCAGTGTCCAATAAACAGGCTGGATGATCACCCAAGTGTCCATTATGCCAAATCGTCTGTTTATTTTACACTTCTCATAATGTGTTTTCTGCTATATATTTGTATAGATACAAATAACACTTTTGCAACCAACCTTAGAAAGGAGGCCATATGCTTACCCTGGCATGACCAGTCAGGAACACTTTCCAGGCAAAAGCAGTGTCCTCACAAATCACACGAAGGCCAGCATGGGCATTGGCAGCGTTTTGTCTCAGAGAGGGAAACCCTCGCTGCATCGCGGTGGGAAAGGATGTGGGTAAGTGCTCTCTTTGCAACACCTGCCGCTGCCTATGAAGACCAGCGAGTGCTTAGCTTCCTTAATGTTACAATGCTGCAGAACGTGCTGTGCAACTCAAACTTCGATATAATGAACCCTGATATAATGAAATACCGGTTATAACGAAGTGAATAAAAATAGTCTTGCAATCGATGTAATGTTAGGAGTAGACCTTTAGAACGAATTTTTGGATAAAACACACTTATTTTCGTGCAAGATGCAACTTTGACATAATGAGGTTTGAGTGCATTTTTACTGTGTCTTGCACTGCTGCCTGCCACACATCTCTAAAGCTAGTGCTACTACATGTTTGAGCATCTTGGAACAACTCCTGGTCCAGAGAGGTTAATGTGGGACAAAACACTGCGCGCAATTTGTAGTAGCGCTGCGGCAGTGAAGAAAGGGATGTGTCCTCCCTAAAACGAGACTGTGGTACTTCTGGCCACCTTACTCTAATGCTTGACTACCTAAATGAAAGTCGCAGAAACATACTGCATTGTCTCCTACCAAAGCACAGCTTCGATGGTGAAAAAGAAAAAAAGAACTTGCAAGTAGTAGAAGACTATCGCTGTTTGTTCGCGATAGCACATGAATAGAAATAAAGAAAGCCCTTGCGAGAGTACAGACAAGAGAGACTTTTGAGACCGTGACGAAGATAAGTTTATTTACAATGCGTGTGGTGGAATTCAGAGGAGGTTTTCCATTTCCTTCATGAAGAGCTCGTAGGCGTCGTCCTTCGTGGGTGCCGCCACAGACGACACTGTAGGTGCCGTGGGAACATCTGAAATCCAAGAAAAATATGAAAAGTAATGAAACGTATGTTGACGATGACCTAGGATAAACCGCAGAATAAGATCTGTGCGGGTTCTCACCACCTGGCGACAGATGCAAAGCATGCATAGGCAGCATCAGTGCTGTCATGTTACTGAAGTGAAACCTGTCAACTTTGCCTATCGTAAAATTCTGGAACTTCAAACTCACGGCTAATTTAACATTTCTGCGCAGTTCCAGAAATGTCCCCAGAAGAGGTCAAGCGGAGGGGCACGTGCTCGAAATTTGACAAGCCTTTTTATCTTCAGTGAGCAGTTATTTAATACTCGCGCTCTATGTGCCTAAAGCGTATTATGACTACGGGGCACACTGTAGTGGGTCCCTGCGAACTAAACTTTACCACATGGTTTTCGTTAGTGTGCCCCTAAGTCTGCACCTAACGTGCACGCCCACATTTCAGTTCACGTGCACGTAATCGCGCCGTGTCTTCTGGGGCAGTACGGGCACCGCCTATTTGTACCTGTGTGTAGCTTACGTTTGTATGAGACATGATGGGGCGAAAACCACTTCGCCACAACTGTACTTCAGCATGCAAGTTGCAGGCCAACAGTTCTTGGCAGAGTCCACAGAAAAATTCTTATCACTCCGTAATTTTTCCGAGCTATTTTTTGCGTCACTGAGGTTCTACTGTAGATCTTTTTGATTTAATACAAAACTGACACTGTTGCTCCATAAACATTCTACACAGGTATATTCAACTGCATCTATTCAGGCTAAGAAAATCATCGTAAAATGCTAGTCGCAGTCAATGTTGTGTGTGGTGAGCCTGAAGCGAAGTCAGGTCCAAGCAGTACTCGGACAACAACACTGCTTGGCAATGTGGCATTGACAGCACAGCACTATATCACTGGAAGCTACTGCACACGAATAACTCGCTTCTCTCCCATCGGCAGCCTCACTTGCCCATGCATGCAATCTACCCAGAATGTCGAGCTATTTGGGCCTTTCTCGGCTGGTTTGATTACATCAGATTTATTGACTCGTTGCCACGTCCAACAATAAAATAAAATGGCAACGAAGTGACTGATGGATCAAACAGTGAAGACCGTGGGCGTTACCTTTGGTGGCCCTCTTGGCTAGATCCCTCTTGACCCGCAACGAAGTGGGTGTGAAGCGCATGACGTCTGCACTGAGGTTGCGCAGCTGTGGCTTGGCCTCGATGGTGGCACCGCTTCCTGGTCGCTGCTGCTCCCCATCCGCAGCGGAGCCGGGCCCGTGCAGGGGCCGCGAAATGAGGCTGGGTGGAGCCGACAGTACTGACGGTGCTGGCCGCATGAGCGGTGGTGGGCGTGGCGGAGGCGGCCCCATCCGCATCGGGGGTGGGCCCATCGGAGGACCGCCTAACGGAGGCAGCGACGGCGGTGGCATGCCCGGAGGAGGGTGCCGGAAAAGCATCGGCGGAGGTATAGGGGGTGGCATGGCTTCTCTGTGAGTTTTTTCAACCTGCGCAATGCGAGTATAGAAAAGACTACAGAGTCAAACTCGCCTAGGCCAAATCTGAAAAAGTAGCGAAATAGTTTTGATGTAAGAAAAATTTGTTATGGGATGCAGGTCCCCATAGTGCGCTTCATTCCGTATCATTTCCTATTACCATAGCAGGCTTAACTACATAACACTGCTGTGCACCAGTAGTGTTGGGTGGTGTTTTGCAACACTGATCTGTTAGAAATTGTTGGATTTCATTGACATTCGCAAATCAAGAAAAATGTCCTGACAACCACTTTTGTCATTTGCTCACTCCAATCCGTACAACAGAAGATCAGACGTTGGATTGTGACGAACCTTAGTCATCAGGGGATGTGTAGCAACCAGTCAAAATCACTTGGGAAGAGTGTTCGGAATGCCCCCTTTTCTTCCTCGACTGAATGTGGCTATGGCGAGCTGCTTTTCATCATCAAAAGCAACGCGTCTGTTCAGCACATTTAGCGGTCTTGCACATGAAGGGAGCCGTGAACGGCAGAGCAGGCATTTAATTTCTGCCTATTAAAAGCATACTATGTGCTTTTTTAAAACTAAGGCCGCATGCACAGTCAAGTAGTAAGCTGAAGATGCTTATCATAGAAGGGTCATCAATAATTAAATCATGTTAGCCATGTTAACCGCTATCATGTCTCCATGCAGTTCTGGTGCTGATACGTAAGGCCGTTACGGCACCCGCACCGTGATACTGGTCTCCACAGAGTTTTTCATATGCTCCATCCCATAACATTCTGACATTGCGGCAGAGCTGACTTTTCGAATACATTACGGCTGCAAATGATTAACTCTCAAAAACGCTGGTTTGCGCCTGCAAGATGGTTGGCATAACAGCGGTAGTGGCTTCAATTAGCCACTGGCTTCACTGTCAATTAGCCAATGGTTCAATTAGCCAATGGCTTCACTGTCAATAGCGACAGCGACAAGCGACAAACTTCATCACGTCGCGATGGCTGCAACCGCATGTCAGCGAAAAAGTGTCATTGTTGCTCGAATGAAAACTATCGGGTGCATACCCTGTGAATAGAAGTGAATAGAAGAATACATACTGTGAATAGAAGTTGAAAAGGTGGTCGATGACAAAATTTCAAGTTTATTAATGTCTTGTGTAACATAAGGAAGCCACAAAAGCTTTTCACGACCTCATTTTTTCACAATCTTTGATTTAACCACGACAGGCTGCCCAGAAGTGTATGCTATGATGGCTACGACACACTTTTCATGACGATTTCGCATAGTAGCAAGCAGCCAAAATGTTACAAGCTACCATCGAGACATCTAAAGACAACTTCGATAACGAGATTTAAGACAAAATACTGCCACACTCTCACTCTCCGCGTGAAATGAGAATGTAAAAAAGGTAGTCGATATCTAGCATTTCTTAAAGTACGCGCGGATAACAAGCATCGAGTGCTAATTGCCATCGAAGCGATGACTAAAGGCACAGCCATGTTGCCAGAAATCGCCACGCTAGCTTTCGGGCGACAAGCGATCTTCTCTACTTTTTCAGAAACGCATGACGTGATAAGCGGGGGCCGATGGATGGGCCTCCGCGGCAGCAAATCTTGTCGCTGTCGCGTGGGAATTGCGTGCATGCGGTCAGTGCTTAGCTTAACTGAGCATGGTAAAAAAATGCTGCCGATCGGTAGTCAAGGGTGGCCGTTTGTCCATGGGCAGTGCGCGATCATACTGAAAGGATGTGTACTCGAAGAAAAAGATAAAAGAGAGAAGAAGTGCTCAAAATCAAAAGGTGCGTGCGTGATATTTTTTTTCTTTCCCTGTGCCATCCCTCCCTACTTAGCTTCCAGCTCGTTGGGATGAGAACAGAGAATGCAATTGCAGCATGTAACAAATTTTTGGAACTCTGCTCGTACTGGACAGATTCTAAAAATTTTGCGGCGATAAATTTGTGAGGTACCAAGCTTCTTTACTGGCTCCATGAATACTTAAAAAAGTGTTGCAGGGCACTTTTAAATGAACATGTTACCCTAAAATCAATTCATCATTTTATTAAGCTTAAAAGCTTGTTATGACGGCTTATATGTGCTAAGTATGATAACTTTTAAAATTTTACATATTTTACAGGTAATCACTCGCATCCTAGCGAAACTCATATCCCGCTAGTACTCAAGGTTGTTTTGACCTCTTTTGAACGAAAAAAAAAAGGCATTTGCATAGAGCCTCTATTTCAATTTAAAAAGATATTGTGCAGGTTAGTTAGAACGTGATAAATACTCCAATTTTTTTATATGTCATACATACCATTCGAAATTAATTCAAAATTATTCAACCGAAATCCCTATTCGTTTCGAATTCCCTTTGAACTTAAAAATCACTACTAGCACAAGCCTACGCAAAAGGTTAGCGTTCAACGTCACCTTGGGCTGATGGCCATTTAATACGGAATCCCCTGCAGTTTCCTTCTAACTTAAGAAAGTTTACCATCCGTTCTCCAGTCTTAGGCACATGGAAGGCCCAATGCGTTTGTCGCCAGTAGCGAACCCATAACTCGTCGACTCCAAAGAGCCAACCAGCGGCCCTGAAGCCGTTGCTTAGTGCATAATCAATCACTTTCAACTTGAAAGCAGCCGCATAGCTTCCGTATCACCCCACGGCGTAACAACATAATGCACACAACAAAGAATACACACCACAACAAGCACTTGACACTTTGGCTTGGCTTATATTGGATTGAGGCTCCGTGCATTGATAGTACGCTTGATGGCGTGCACTATCATCATCAGTGGTTAGAACGAGCAGACAACATTACCGTGGCAATTTTCGGAGGTGCAATAATTACTAAAAAAAAATCGTACCTTTGTTGGACAATGTGAGTGGTGCAAGAATTATGCGAGCACGAGGATTACGCGAGTAAATATGGTATATGAAATGAACGTGCGTGGGGGATACTGACCTCTTTGAGGAACTCGGTGACATCTGAATCGTCGTCAACACCAGGAGGACGGTCGGGGCCTTCATCGGCGAATCGAATCTTGCGTGGCTTTACGGGAGCTGCATGGAGTTTTAAGAACAACATCACGTGCTAAGTGACAGAAAGAAGATTGCAAATCAGCCAACAGCATTACAAATGGTATTGATTGGCACCAATGTAATGTCACTTGTTGGCATTATATTGGCAGACTTTGCTGATTCCTCCAATGTCGTACTCATCTCCTGCCTCAACAGAATATTGTTTCAGGTGAACACTGCAACATTGACAAAGAGAATTTGACATTACTAATGCACATACAATTGTTCTCGTTTACTTTAGTACTGCCCTTCTTGACCAGCAAAATACCACATAGACTCAAGTAAGCATTGAACTTCATTTTTCCGTGCAATTTGCACAAGACGCGATCCTTACACGACAATGAAGGTCCCTGTTCCTGTAAGGCCCTCACCAATTCGTATACTTAAAATTGGTCTTTCAGAATATACAACATTACTATAGCTGGAGTGAACATCATTGCAGTCTGTCATTTGGAATTTACATTTATTAATGGGAAGTCTGTCCTTTTTTTCTTTTTTTTTCTTCCTACGATACTGATGTTAAGTTGGGGGCACGGCCCTTCACATTCATAGCCAGTGCTTTCTAGTGGACGTTTGTTATCTCACACTGCTGTAGTACCTAGTCTCAGAAAATGCTAGATAAAGAAAACAACCGATAATAAAAATGTGCTTAACGATGGCTCTCATCTCTGTTGCACCGGTGAAAAAAAGTGTTTGTTGCGTGCTATCAGTCGTTTCTAAGCCAGCACCAGTGCAGCGTTAATGTCAAGGGTAAAATAAAGCAGACAATTGCTGGATGTTCAATAGAGTTGTGTTCATTCATCCATCCAACTACAAATAAGTTGCCGTGACATAAACAAATCATGACAAGGGGGAAGGGGAATCACTATATCAGAAAAAGATGAGAAAGCTAGTGAGAAAAAACAAATGCCATTGCTTTGCCATGGAGGCCTATGCTATGTATTACAGTCACACTCAGTGATTAGGGATTTTTCAAATGAAATTGCTGTTTAAATAAACAAAAACAGCTGCCTCTAATATGGTTGATTTCATACTTGAATGCTGCTCCCCTATTCATTTTCAGTAAAAAGAAATTCTGTTAAATGGAACAATTTTTCAGCGTACCCTCATGTTCCAAGAGTATACTGTATGCAAACAGTACCAAGAACATCAGGGCTTTGGTATACACGGGTTGCATGGCTTAGAAAAACAACAAGCTGCAATAGAAGCTGCTATGATGCCAAGCTCTTCTCCCATCCGCTAGAGAAGTAGTCGTGGCCTTCCAGCGACTTGTAGCCCTCATTCGTTGCAGCGTGACATGACTTGTTGAAAGTGCCAAATGATTCACAATGTCGCCGCGTATCATGGCAGGCAGCAGATCGACGTTCGGTGCAATGTGTACTTGCCGATGCGCAGATCGTGAGGGCCGATGCCAGCAGCGTACCCAAGTCGGTCCCACAAGCTCTTCTAAGTTAGGCAGTCAAAGCGCTCGTACGTTTTATTTCGCCGTGTTGTGCATAATAAATCGAACGACGCCGACAAGCTCCGAAACGGCGGTAAGCTGCATGAGCAGCCCAACTCAATGTTCTTAACTATGGCGGTGGCTTCCTTTTCAAGCTCGAAATTATGTCACATGCAACTCATGTATAGCAAACATGAATAAAATACATTGTTCGTTACATATAGGAGTAAACCTAAGATGTGTGCTGGAACCGCTTTCATCTCTCTGGCCATAGGACAACGGACTATTACCAGGCTTGTGCGAATATTCGAATGCTTTCAATGTTCAAATGACATTACAGTATTTGAATTTGCTTTGATTTGAATTTAAATTATTGAAAACTTCAAAGTATTTCAAATGAGCGAACAGAAGCATATTAGTCCACGTGTAACCCTCTGTAAACAGTTTCGCTGCACTGCAGAAATGCTAAGCCGTGAAAACATTTATCCACAAGAAATCCGCACTGCTGCAAAGCTCCACTACAAGGTCAAACATATCACCCTCGCATCGATTCATAATTTTCTAACGTTAAAAGATGGTTATACCAACATACATGCTTTTAGTACAGTAAATAATAATGTGTAACGTACTTTACAGATTGCCACTAGCATTCTATTAAAAGTCGAATCCTTCTACTATCAGACGTTGTTTTGCACTTACTTTGAAAGAAAAGAAAGGCATTTGCAGAGGCCTTGTTTCAATGTTCAAAAAATATTGTGCAGGTTACTTAAGTTATGACAGATATGTTTATTTTTCCTTGATAATATGTAGCATATAGTACTACTATTCGATTTGAGATTATTTTCCCAAAATCCCTATTCATTTCAAACCTAAAATTGACCATTCGCACAAGCCTAATCATTATAGGTTTCTCCTTCGTTATTGCTTTCCGGACACACACGCTAATACTCAAATTTGTGTGTCCGGATCGAAGGTTGCAGGTTTGAATTCCACCGAAAGCAAAGGTGATTTTCCATTCGCTTTACTTCCTTTCAATTAATGTATTAATTAATACACTACAGTTAAAAGACAACAGTGACTGTCTCCTATGCTTTTCTTGACCTAAGTGCCTGCTAGATTGATATGGTTGAGTAACTATAGCACAATCAACTTGATATATTTTTGCATTGTGGGAAGGGTCGCCGAAGCACAGCAGTGTTCGGCCACCTAGAGCGGCCCGAGGGCCTGTCGTCATCCTGCTTCCACTTCCCCTGCGACACCCCCCTCAAATGATCCCTTCGTGAATCAATAAAGTTGATTACCTACCTACCTTGCTGCAAGAAATGCGTTCTGGTTAAAGCTCTGTCACAAAATGTTGCTACCGGTACAATTGCTGCTATTAACTTTTTTGTAACCCAGTATTGTGCAAATGGTAAGAAGATTGTGAAGAGAAGCTAAATTTCCCCATTAAAAAAACAAAATGAAGATATTGTAACAGAACATGAGCGTCGTTTACCCGTTGTATCCTTCTCTTCAGGCACGTTCTCCACGTTAGTAGCAGGGGGCTCTGAAAAATGGAATGAGAACAACAACACTATGTTACACGATACCTGCACATTACTGGAATGCCTGAAGCAAGATGCAAGCCTGAAGCATCTCAAAAAATGCTTCACTATTTCCACAAACAATTTGCACAATGCTTCACTATTTCCACAAACAGTGGGGCATACTCTCTGTGGTTCCAACATGAAACATTTCAATGTATATATTCACAAATCTGTGGTACCTTGATGTACAAGCAAAAAATCTTAGCATTTGAGTGTAAGCAGCTTCCCATCGTGCACTTCAGAGTCGCTGCTGCTACTGTTTCAGCACTGCATATTCTGTCCTCAGCATAAGGTGCTATCGTGAGCTATATTTATTTTATTTCATTTTTTTATTGCGAATACTGCAGGCCAGTTTGTGGCCCAAGCAGGAGGGGAAATTGGCAATACACATAACACTGTTACACATACATACAAAGAATAAAAATAATAACAATAAAAAGGAGCACAATGCAGATTGGTCAAGGCATAGCACACCATACAATGCATATACTTAGCGACAAATGCTTTCCTGGAGCGCTTGGGAAAAATTTTTGGCTTGTATCACTGCTTCCGGGAGCGCATTCCATTCGGAAATTGTACGTGGGAAGAAGCTGTGCTTAAACTGATTAGTTTTGGCGAAGATAGGCTGAAAGGAATGAGCATGCGTGTGACGGGTCCTTCTTGTGCTTAGCGGTTTAATCATAGTTGACGGAGTTGTTTTCACCTTAGAAGTAGCAATATTGTTGAGGAAGAGTAAACGGGCCAAGCGTCTACAAACTGCTAGGGTTTGAATGCCATTATCAGTCATGAGCTTCGACGGAGAATCGTAACGCCCATATTTGTTAAAGATAAAACGCACCGCTTTTCTCTGAACGAGCTCAAGCATGTAGATATCTTTTTTCAAGTGCGGATCCCATATCACGGAAGCATATTCAAGTTTAGCTCTAACAAAAGTTTCATAGGCTAAAAGCTTAACGTGACTTGGAGAATGTCTTAATTTTCGTCTCAAAAAACACAACTTAGTGAATGCAGCAGAACAAATACGTTTTACGTGGGATGACCAAGATAAATTAGAGTTCAAAGTGAGGCCCAAGTACTTGTACTCCCCAACATCTGCAATACAAGTGTTCTGCAAGAAGTACTGGGAGTTGAAGAAATGTTTTTTGCGCGTTATTCGTAGAAATGCACATTTTCCGGCATTCAACATCATTCCCCACTGCTCACACCAACTCTCTATTGCAACCAGGGATTCCTGCAAAACTTCACAGTCATCAGGTGAGCGAATTTCTCTAAAAACAACACAATCATCGGCAAACAGCCTGATGGAGACAGTTTCGGGAAGTACGTGGGCTAAATTATTTATATAAAGAAGAAACAACAGCGGTCCCAGCACGCTGCCCTAGGGTACCCCAGAGGTAACAGCAAGAAAATTACAGAAACAACCATTAATATCAACATACTGTTTTCTGTTATTTAAATAAGCTCTTATCCAGTTCAAAAGGCAATCAGGAAAGCCAATGTGTTCAAGTTTATACAAAAGCTTATCGTGTGGCACTTTGTCAAAGGCCTTGCTAAAGTCGAGGAAAACCACATCAACTTGTCCAGACTCGTCCAATACCGCAGAGAAGTGATGAACAGTAGTGACCAATTGCGTAACAGTGGACATATTTTTTCTAAAACCGTGTTGATAGGGCGACAAAATGTTCCTTTCAGCCAGAAATTCATGAATGAACCCTACAATAACATGCTCCAACATTTTACAACAGCTACTTGTGATGGAAATGGGTCTGTAGTTAGAAATTGAAAGTTTCTCTCCCGTTTTAAACAGTGGTTTGACCCTAGCAACCAAAAAATCATACGGGACTTCACCTGATGTGAGAGAGATCTGGAAAATGTTAGTTAAAAAGGCAGATAGCTGATCAGCATACCGTTTCAAGAATCTATTAGGAAGATCATCGGGGCCGGGACTTTTTCTAGGATCAAGCTTTCGTAATAATGCCAGTATTCCGAGATCCGAAACAACAGGTATATTTGAATAATCCGTTGGGCGTTTAGGAACTGATCTGCCTGGTGAAAAGACTGATTGAAAGTAATGATTGAATGATTGAGCTATTTCTTTGTCATCTCTTACAATTTTACCATTTACAGCTATTTCTTTCAGAATATTTTTCCGTTCACCCAAAAACCGCCAAAACTTAGAGGGGTCATTTTTAATGAACTCAGGTAGTGTTACGGTAAAATAATGAGCTTTCGCCGATTTAACCTTACATTCCAAAGACTGCTTCAGGCTTTGTAAATGTTGCTCCCCTAGACTCCTCTTTCTCCTAAGACGTTTAATCTTACGCTTGGTCTGAATGATATCTCGGGTAATCCATTCATTGTAACGCTTGTTTCTAACCTTCCTTAAGGGTACAAAATGCTCGATGCAGTATTGTATTGTTTCCTTGAAGTGCGTCCACAACGTGTGCACATCATTGCTAGTTTGGATATCAAATTTTAACTCTAAGTAATCAATGATAGAAGCGTCATCGGCACGGTCAAAATTTTTGACATGGTTGACCAGTTGGTCTTCAACACTGCCGAACCCGGTAGAAGAACAATAAAACGATAAGAGCCGGTGGTCGGAAATACCAGGATCTACATTTACTACACCACTGGAAAATACGTCGCTAACAAAAAGTAAATCTAGAATGGCGTCAAGACGGGTAGGTTCCAAAACTAACTGTTTTAGACTTATAGCCAACATCATGTCTAAGAGAGTATCACATAGGTCACTCTCTCCATAAGTAGGCCGATTCCAGTCAAAACTCGGCAGATTAAAATCGCCTGTTACAATAACCGGGCGACCACGGTAGGGCAAAAGATAATCGTACAATTTGCAAAGAAACGAGACGGTTGCATCAGGCGATCGATAAGCAGCACAAAGCAAGAATATTAAGTCACAAAAAGACACGTTTAAAAACAAGCTTTCATGATTAGAGATCCCAGGCAAAACCGAGATCTCGATATTGGTTTTAGCCATAACGGCAACGCAAAAGGATCTGCAAAAGGACCTGCTCGAGTTCTGACAAGTCGGGGAGGCTCAATTTTACCAGCCTCACCCAGCTGTTCGAGCGCGTAAACAAAACGGCGTGGTCAGGCACCACGTTGCCTGTTGCTATAGCAACGTCATAAACACATTTGACTGAACAGGCAACAATGGTGTACGAGCTTCCTCTAGGTAAGACATTTCAGCCCATGTGATTGGAGGCCCTCTGCAACGTCACAACACAGAGTGAAATGTGGTCATGTCACACCGCAAAATTCGAGTGGAGGGTAGGCATTTTTTTCTCGTGTTTTGAATTCTTTAAATTGAATAACTTCATACTGCGTGCCGCTATCGCTGCCATTCTTGCTGCACTAATTTGTCCGTGCGTCAGTCTATGCAGTCCACGAGTAAAAAATTGGAGGTTGGAAAGTGTTAGAGGGCCCCTTTAGAGGCAACCTTCATTCATTTTCCCAGTGAAAGACAACTATGCTATAGCCATCTGCAGATGTATTGGTTTACATCTTTGTAATAATAAAAGGCCTCATTAAACATGCTCTGTGACGTGTTTTCTCAATCCGTTACACCACTGTATACACAGACATCACTATCAAGGCAAATTGTGGCCACCTGTTAGCAGAGTAATGAAGTTTCAACTATAGTGAATTATGTTTAACTGCTTCAAAATGTACATCTCAAGTTTTGAATTCAAGCCGATAAATGCAATGAAATTGCATTCATGCACCTCAGCATTCCAGTTAAGAGGCCTCGATATGTGAGTTCAAAATACAGTGATGGTCCACTTAACAGCACCATGCAAAATAATGCATTGGGACATGGAACTTTCAGCAGCTACTGAACTTTGATAACTATAAATGCAGCCCTCACCAATATGCTACTTCTGGCTTAAATTGTAGAGTTTTGACCTCAGGATTTCTATGCATCGTAGACTTTGGTTACTAGAAAGTCCTAGTAAGATTATAATGTATTTTGGACTGAGGAAATGAAACATTGCTAAAAAGAAAGGACTCATTAAAATTAGTGACTTCATCAATGTTACTAACACTGATTAAAAGTTCAGATAGTCTATAAAGAAAAGGTTCTGGCCAAGATAGAAGTGAATTACCATGCATACAACGAAGGCAAGTCACAAATTATTTACCATTTTGTCACAACTTTTGTGATACTAGGCAGTTTGTCTTCTGCCCTTGCATACTTTATTGTTATAGTGCTGTGCTAATGTTGTGAAAGTTTGTCCTTAATTCCTTATTTTTTCTTCCATTTGTAGCCGATATATCCTGGCTGCTCCTATAGAAATTTGCACCAAAGAGGAACAATGAGCAGTGATTCGTTTTCGCTGGTCGGAGGGGGTCAAAGCTCTAGACATTCATCACAGACTATCTTCGCAATACAGGAGAAATGCAGTATCACGTAAAACTGCATCTTTGGGGATAAAGAATTTGCTATTCACAACAATCGCAACAGCAATTCGCCACAAATGCTGACGCTTGCTGTAAAATAAAGTTTTGTTATGAGAATGCACGGCCACATATGGTTATTCGCACTACTGATCCCATTAACTAAATGAAATTTGAACTATTGCTACACCCACCCTACAGCCCAGACCTAGCTTCATGTGACTTTCGTTTGTTCGGGCCACTAAAGGATGCGTTGCGTGGTTGATTTAGATGTGCAAAATGCGGTGCAAAAGTGGCTCCATGACTAACCGAAAATCTTTTATTTTGAAAAATACGTAAGCTCGTTGACCGTTGGGGCCAAGTGCATTGATAAAGAGGGACATTTCAAAGAAAAATTAATATGCATAGTATAACCCTAGCTTCATGTTAATAAACAGTAGAATGAAAAGTGTAAATAATTTTTCATTTGCCTCATGGTACATATCTTATTAATTCTAGCCATGAGTGTATTATGTGATGTCATTGACTGCACTCAACATACATAAAATATTCTGTCCAACCACCTGTTTACGATAATCCTCCGAGTAGGGGTTCCCAACTCCCTCACTTTATGATCACTTGCCTTGAGTGTCTTTCTTTATTTTGAACACTGCATACCCGGCTCTTCCAAGTCACAAATGGCAACAGAATTACCAGCATGTCACTAAATTCTTGGCCGGAAAGTATCGGGTGCAGAGTTTCAAAAGAAGGAAGCACAAGCAAAAAGAAACGAACTTATCAGTCAACGAATACGACCAAAGGAAGGCACGAACTCTTTTCAGGATGCATATTGGGGTCTGCACTAACTTAGAGAGGTTTTTCGAGAATTTTTGTCTTTCTTTTTCTTGTGACACCGTGTGTACTACTTTAATCACGTTTGAGGCTTTAAAGACATGAAATACATGAACAGATGCAGCAAGTGCGAGTGGCGGGACTGACCGTTCTCCTCTTCTTCATCGTCGTCATCGTCCGACAGCTCCGGAGGTGGTCCGGGTGGCACGCCGGGCGCCTTTGCCGAGGGGTCACTGTATATTGAAAGCGATACTTGGTAGTGTCTGCCATCGGGCTAGTAGGTACATAGCTGAGATCAAATTGATTGGTGCAAACAGTAGGACAAGAATAAATAAGTGATAACTTGGACAAGTGCAGACGTGGACAAGCACACTCAACGCGCTTGTCCACATCTTTGTTTACTTGTCCTTGGCCTAGTATTTGCGCCAATCAGTTCAACCTCAGGAACGTAAGTGATCTTTAGTAGCGTCTGCCATTGGGCTAGTTGGCACATAGCTGAGAGTGAAGCGATTGGCGCAAACACTAGGACAAGAACAAGTGAAAACACGGACAAGCACAGACGCGGACAAGCACACTCAATGCGCTTGTCCACTCTTTGCTTACTTGCCCTTGGCTCAATATCTCCGCCAATCAGTTCAACCACAGGAACGACAATGACCCAGTGAATGCATTGTGTACAGCGAGACATCGTAGACAAGCAAAGGGGATCAATGAAAGGTTACTTATTTAGCCATTATAGGAAGCCAGACGAAGAAGACAAAAGGTACTCACAGGGGAGGCTTCTTCAGTATAGATGGCACGTCGACAGGAAGTGGGATTAGCGAAGGGGCTGCGACGGAAAGAAACAAGAAAGTGACTCTGCACAAATATATCTATTCTGCTCTGTTCTCGCCACTGCTATGACTCTTCACAACATCTGTCATGATGGGTGGTTGCAATACAATAAATGTAGGGGTTTCAAGACCAAAAACCACAATAGGATTATGAGGAACGTTATAGTTGAGGCCTCCAGAAGTTTCAACCATGTGCAGTTCTTTAATGTGCACCTAAATTTAAATGTGCATATAACGTGCACCATCGAGCTGTGGCTGGGATTCAATCTTACGAATTTTGCTTCAGCAGTCAAGCACCATGATTAGTAGACCAATGCATGGTTTTCTCTTAAAAGCGTAGGGCAGAGGGGAGTTCGGCCTGGTTGGGGAGAGTGGCAAGACGTAGCGGTGTGTTGTGCGCGATTTAGGGTTAGCGCGTGATGCATTTGACGCATAAAAACGATAAGTGAAAAATTTCGTGCCAGTACCCATTTAAACAGAATGCAAAGTGTGCCACGCAGAATGATTTCGGTAAAAGGAAAGCTGTATAAGAAAGATTTAGAGCCCTATGACATCTGTGAATATGGAAGCCAGTGAAGCTATGACCACGGTAGGTCTGATATAGTGAAGCCTGTGATTGGATATATATCATCATTACGGACTATGCTGAGCGAATAAAGAGACATGCAGATAAAACTCCTGGTTTCTCCTTTGTGTACATTGGACATTATTAAGTCAGGAGTAGTCTCAAAATAAAATCTTGTAGTACTACGTAAAAAATCCTGCTGTTTCGAAAGCTCGAAAACAGCATGGCATTCGTTTCTTATGCAAGTGGTCTTGTTATTGAGGTGAGATTATTGACCTCATTCTGAAATGTCGGCAAAATCTTACACGTGTATGTTTACTTTTATGCCATGTCCATTTCTTCTACACAAGAACACTGAGTTAGTTTTGGTAATTTCTTCATTAAAAAATATTGTTCAGAGTGTCTCTTGTTTATAGACTCGATCTGCCAGGCTACAGACATATACAGCTTTGCTGTATAAACACTAGTGTGGAGATGAGAAGTGGCTGCCAGCATATCATGCGCCAAGGGCATATTACAAACAAGTTTTTTCTTTAAATAGAGGTTTTTATCACTAGGCCCAAAAATTGCCATGCTATATGATCCTTCCATCAATGTGAGTAACGATGCTCAGTGGCCCAGCTGGCCAACTAGGTCAGAGACAACAACGGTGAACAAATGACTAAAGACAATTAGGCATTCTTCGACGTACCAACTTGCGGGGTACTCGGTGCACTTGGCAGAGGAATCTGGTCAATTTCCACTTGCTGGGCAAACTTGACCGACTCTGCAAATCAGGAATGGGGGAGGTGACTGGTTATTCGGCAGGCTAAGTATTGCTTACTTGGCAGATAAAAAAAGTAGCAATTGCTTTGCAAGCTACATTTTGCCTTGTTTGTCTCAAAGCGATATCATAAAGCACATAAAAGCATTTGAAACCAAAATAAAGGAGAAATAAGTACAGACCTACAGGAAGCTCACAGATGTGCCATTTGAACATTTCCAAGATAAACCTCGATATAACGAACCCGGGTATAACAAAACACCGGTTATAAAGAAGTGAATCAAAAATAATGTTCAATAGATATAGCGTTAGGAACGAATCTTCATAACGAATTTTCTAATATAACGAAATTATTTACTTGTAGGATGCAACTTCGTCATGATGAGAGGTTTGAATGTAGCCATAACTGTATTGTGAAAAGTTGCAAAATGTTTCAAAAATATATTTTAAGAATAGCCTTTTGCACATCACTCAAACGGCCTTCCAATACAATCAAGCCATTAAATTTGCATAAAAGGGCGAAATTGACTAAAACTGTCAGATATGTAACTTCAGGACTGCTTCATAGTATTCACCTGCCTCTTCTTCAAATGCTTTTCTAGCAAAGAAGCATGCATGCATGCAGTCTGGTGATGAAGCAGAATTTCACAGGTGCTCAGCTCTTCAAATTAATAATTTTAGCGCAAACCCGACAGAGAGAGTTCAACATCATTTTAAAAGATGAAATACTTGCCACTATAAAAAAGGTTTGGTTGCGCACGATGAGCGATGATAAGCATCGTTATTCTCTGCAGTAACAACATTTATCAAGACTCCAAGGTAAAATGCCATTTTTATGCATTAAGGCTAAGTCGGCACACGTAACAAGTGAATGTAATGATGACAAAAGCGGGACAAAGAGGTTGCGTTACCGTGTTTATAAAGTAGCGTTGTTCGTGATGAAGTACTAATAATCAGCCTTTTGTTGTAGCTTGGCTAACAAGAAAACTGAACAGACATTATTTCGCAGGTGTTCAGTTTTGCTGCCTCTGCAACCTTGATACCTCGCGTAGCGATTCAAGACAACACCGCAGAACTCTCCAAAAATAGCGGGACCCTGACACATCTGCAAAAACTTTTTATATCCATTGTGAGAATTGTAGGGAGCATGCAATGACAAAGAGTTCTTAAAATACGCGACACAGCCATAATTTGTCGACATGTGAACATTGTTCAATGAGTGTATTTTAACAGACACTCATACCCTCATAAGCTGCACTTTCAGCTTATGGTGAAAATAAATAAATATATAAATGCAAATGAGGTAGTGTTAGTTATTGCAATCAGACACATCTGCTTTCGCTATGGCAAGCATGCCATGTATGTTCGAACAAAGTAAGATACGTGTTCGAAATAAATAGAAATGTGTTCATCACGTATAGGGCACATTATTTGGAACTAAGAACTAACTAATGTTACAGTCCATTATGAGGTTACCGCCAAGTTAAAAATCTCCACCGTACCTCCCAGAAAGGTTTTGGTTAGTTATTCTTACAAGAATCTGGCAGTAAATAACCATTATACGGACAAAGGCCCTAAAGTTATAGAGTGGGACGATACCCTTAAAGGAGCACTGACATCAAATTTCAAGATCGAGATGGGCCCATCATTCGATCGCTCGGTATTCATAGGTCTTCTTGGCCAAATTTGAACGGCATCCGTCGTGTGGAAGTTATTTTAAGTCGATGTCAAACAGCGTAGAAAAGCCAAGGTGAAAAAACGAAAAATAGGCTGCCCTGCGACATTGACACTAGTGCTACGTGTTCGGTGTGATGCATTCCACGAATACCATACTGAGTGACGATGCCCTAGTAGCGATGACATGTACGATCCGAGTGTTCTTATCACGGCGCCGACTGGCGCAAGTGCAGAAACGCACTCTCTCGTCCGTGGCCGGGCTAGGGCGCGCGCAGGTGCAGTCACCCCGGCCGTTGCCAAAGCCACCATGGCTCGTCGCGTCTGATCTTCATCGCACCTGTTTGAATGATTTCGTGAAATTATCAAGATAAAAACTACCTTTAAAAGAATGGTGAAAGAAAAGAGCATGCTTAAACGTGTGCTTGTCGGTCAACGTGTTGGGGAATCGTTGTGAGTTGCAGGTGAGTTGCAGTCATCTAGTTCGAAGCACAAAAAAAGCGCAATGAGGGTGTCTTTTCAGATCACATATGTATTACACACCAACACGACCACAAGCTATCAAAAGTTGAAGAGCGTGTCGTCAGATATCATCGCTAACAAGGAATTACACGCAAGTATCCTTGAATTTTAGTTCAGCTGTAGACTTTGCGTCCACGTTAAAGTCGTTATACCACGTTAATCGCGAGAGGCTGGATAGGTGGGGCCATCTGGAGGCGCAAAAAAGAACCTGACAAGCAGGAAACGCATTCTATTTCTCCGCTGATGCTCATTCGCGATAGCTATATTGCATTGACCCCTCTGCATATACCGGAATGCTTTGCACGCCAAAACACACCAAAATAGCTAACTGAGACACACGAGCGAACATGGCTGAAGCATGCATCCTCGGGCACCTCTGTAGTGCTGCTTGGAACGGCGTCCATTTCAAAATCACTGTTCTGCAAAAGGTCGATCGAAGCAAAAATAATACGCGACATCGCGAATCGCGGGGATTCCAAGCTCCAGACTATCTTATTGAACCCAAGTCGACACATTGTACAGCGACGACAGCAATGCAGGTGACAAGGCATGACTGAATGGGTCCGCCTAGCAGACGAAATGTTTGTGGAGCAGCAGAGCCTGACGTCACTCTTTTCTGTGGAGAAGTGGTCACCTGTGGCGTGATCTAAAGGTGACCGCGAGGTAGCGCCACTGCTGGTGCTCCCAACGCTAAAAATGGCGGGATTGCCGGCCGTTTTTGAACTGTGCTAGATTCCAGTAATATAAATCAATAAAAGAGATAGTTATTCATCTCTAAGTTGCGTTTTAGGTCCCGAATCATTGCTACAGGGTCTATGGCTACTTGCTGACGCAAAAATTTCGGCATGAGTAAATTTGATGTCAGTGCTCCTTTAAGTTTAGGATGCAAGTCGGATCCCCCAAACTTACCATAGTACTTGATGAGTGTGTTCCGCTTGTCCTCATACTCCAGCTCCATCTTCTTTAGGTCCGAGAAGTGCTCCGGGTCTTCCTTTTGCTGTTAAAGAAAGTCGTACACGCAAGTGGGGCTAAATAAAAAAACACCTAGGCGGTCGAGTGATTGTCCGATCGCTGGGAAGGTGTGCCGCGAATCGTGTTGCTGACATGCGCTGTCAGCACATCTGTTACACACAATTTATGTGGAAGTACAACGTGTGACTTTTTTTGTAAGTGGTTTCTAGGCATGAAGCAGTTTCGTGTGCACACATGTTTCAGACTCCAGATACAGTGAACTCTCATTTCAGTGAACTTCAAGGCACTCACGGAAATAGTTCAATGAACTGAAAGTTGACTAAACTGAATTTAGCTAGAATATGAAACAACTTAGCGCAGCACAGATATGAGTTAGTAATAAGAACTTTTGGGGTTTAACATCCAAAAACCGCAATATAATTATGAAGTATGCCAGAGTGGAGGGCTGCAGAAATAGAAATTTAGCCCAACTGAGGTTGGGCAAAATTTCTGGAGCCTATATCATTCGCCTCCACCAAAATGATACAGCAGTGTCTAGCATCAGATGCATGATGCAGATATCTGTTATATAGTGCACAAGGCAAATTACAGAGCTATGCACATAATGCGCTAAACAGTTTCGTTGATATGCATCTGCTTCTCCTCTTGAAAAAAAAAAAATGCCATTTTCATTTCCGCTAGCGATATTCAACTGCAAGAAGTAGAAGAGAGCATGTTTTTGCTCACTTTCTCTGACTAAGCTTGTTGCTGAAATATGCAGAATTAAAGGACTGTAATCAGGCACAGCCATTAGATTTTCCTCTCACACTGTTCTTGTTAGACATAAATAATGAAAATGGTTTCCATATCCAACAGCTTCCAGATCCAGATCACACAGTTTGGTCTACCAATTATGTTCACCCAACTGAAATTTGTTCTATTAAGAAATTCGCTTAACTGAGAGATTTTCGCAGAGAATATATGAAAATGCTGCCACAATGTCTTCAAAAGTTCATTATTCTAAAATATTCGTTACACCCTCATTCAAACTATGGATATTTTACTGCAAAGCCACCATTACAAATGAAGGTAGATTGGTATATGGAATATTATACATTGCAGTAGTTTTCAAGCTGTGTGCATATGAAGTTACGTTGATTTTAGCACTGGGTGTTTGCGAAAGTAACGTAAAGAAATAAAAAATGATGACAATTGGGTATAACATCACAAACTCACGTATGATGCAACAGTGTGAATCGCATAGGTATTTTATCTATCTGTTGGCTTTATCGGCTGAGCAATGAATAACGCAATTAGACTTTTCAATGCGCAGTTACTTCATAAACACACAGTACGTGTCTTCAGACACGTTGGTGTGTAATGGTGGCAAGTTATAAAACAAGATCATTCAGGGACAGTAATATCAAACTAAGGCCCCCGGCTGTAGTAGCAGAACATTTTGATGAAAGTGTTCAAAGTTCGCGGCAAAATCATTTGAAGTGCCGGGAGTGTCACTTACGTAGAGCCGAAGCACACGATCCCACGTCTCTCTCAGCTTTTTCCGCTTGTCCCGAAGAACTTTCTCGCTCAATACCGGTGGGTTGTCCACATTGTATTCTGAAAAGATGAGGATTATGCAACGTCACGTCATGACTGACTCAATGCGAATCTCTGTGGAAAGGAGGATTAAACTTAGGGCCGACTTCAGCGAATCTTCCGACTTTTCCACTGATTGTACGCTTACTCAAGAAATCAGTCAGGCACAGCACGCAGTATTAAACCAGACTAATATACACGAAGTTCAACACTCCAAGACCTTAGTGGATACTAAAAGGTAATCTGTATTCTCTGATGAGGCTTACACAAACTAAAGGCAGCACGGGAGCCGCATTAGTCTGTTCAATGCCCTAAAAATGCGCTAGCTGCTGCTTTTTGCAAACCAAAGTTTGCTGTTTAGTCTCACGCCATTCTGCCTCACGCCTTTTGACTACCACAACAATCTGACAATGTGACAAAGAAAGTCCCATCAGCGAACAGGTAACAAGTGCTACAAGTGGGCTACACATTACGAAAGTGTAATTATTATTACACCTTGGAGAAAACAAAGCCCTGGATGTTGAGAACAATCTTTACAAATAACCCGGCTTCAATTGAAATACAGTAGACTCTTTGTAGACGGAAATCTCTCACAGAACTGCTGCTTAAGTGAGACAACTGCCTCTAATATGACTGATTTCATAGTAGTATTCTCCATTCTCGTTCATCTCTCAGTAAACTGAACTCTTGTTAAACGGAAAAGTTTTCCTTTCTCTTCAGACTGTGCTTATTAACGATGGTTTACTGAATAGTGGAAACAGTTGTTTTAGATAACTTTGTTGGTCATAGTCATTAACACGGGCCGAAAGGCATGCATCACAAGCCAGAGCATTGTGACTGAGTGCATTCAGTGCCACTGAAACGACGACACAATACACAACACATGATGTTAGTTTAGTGATGAGTGACAGACGGTGACTGCCTTATGTGATATGGAGCCAGCTGCAAACGGTACTACCCAGAGACCTCACTTAATTCAAACAATGTTTCGTAACGTCCAAACTCACCCATTTCGTCGATTCTTTGCAGGTCTGAGATCAGCTGCTGTGGATCCTTCCCTTTCAGTACAGCCGCTCTCACCATCTGACGCTGCTTTTTGTTCTACACGAATAAGTAAAGAAAGATAATTTATTTAGTAAAATCCCCTGTGATGACAATATCAGTTTTTTTTAGAAATATCCCAGAGCTAAGAACCTATATTTCAGTGATTCCTTCGTCTCTTGGTAGTACAATGAGAATGTTTCTTCTTTATCCCGATTAACATCAAATGTCTGTTTGATCACTGTCATGATTGTTATTTTGTGTGCTGTTAAATAAACACACCACTCAGTATTGCTTCTACTCTACTACTGCCTCCAAACCCTGTCATTTTAATCTGGTAAGTGTATGGTGTTATATGTTTTTGCCATGCCCAATATCCACGCTCAAGTCTAAGAGCAGCAGGACCACAAATGAAAAGAAATCATAAGGTTTGCGTGAGCTCAGAAAGATGCAAGGTTTGCTGCTGCACTAAATTTTTTACTGACAGAATTTAACACACTAACGATAATAGAAAGCTTGATTAAAATGATGTTTCATCCAAATGTACAACATACACCAATGATTAGAATATGAAATTATTAAAAACTAACACTTGCAGGAACTTCTGCAGCCAGTTATTGGCAGAGACAAACACCAGGGAAAATACCAGAAGCAAGGTTCAGCTCAACCCAGCCATAACATCACATAGAGCTAACACAAGAACTTCTTGCCAAATTTAGAACCGGGGCACACATCACATGGAGCTCACACAGAAACTTCTTACCATATGCGGAACCGGGGCACACATTTCGTTTGTTTATAATGCCTACCTGACAACACGATGGGCTGGAATTTGGCATCAATATTTCTTCAAGTGCGCTTAAACAAAAATGCCAATAATGGTCTTCACATATCAACCCTCACTCTTTGCTGCTGCTCCAGTCCAACAAGTGACATTTGCTGCCTATCATTAATTACTGGCCGAAGGCGCTTAGCAGGGAAGTGCGAACTTGCAATTCTACAAAAAAACTAATGTATATCTATTTCTTAGTTTGACGCTCATAACGAACAGTTGTCTTTCAGGGGTTAACATATTGAACTGAGGGCTCTTATTCAATTTCGATGAAGAGCTTTCATAGATGTGCACTACAGGTATGGTTCTGTGTATTAGTTATCCACAGTCAGGAGAAAACAGCCGAGAATCGAACCCATGGTTTACAGTGGATAGCCTCGAGTGCTACACTTCTAGCAACTATGTGAGTGTAGGTGCTAAGGTTTCTTCAAGTCACCATATCTAGCATCTAAAGGCAACACAAAAAGTGTCAAAAGATGCCATAATGGGACATCAAGGATTATCCTTTAATGTTTGAAGTCTTTCGAAACGCACTTGAAAGACCAGTGCCCAAGTTTCTTTCATTTCCATCCTCACCACAACACAGCCTGGAGCCCCACATGCAACCACGTGATCATCCCTGGAAGGCTGTATACACATAGTTCTCTAATAGTTTCGTTCTGTTGCGGCATCAAATGTTCGAGTTACCCCCTGTAGCGAGCTGGCGAAAACGCACCGCACACCTGATCTCTTCCAACTCGATACCAATAAACAGAACACTGAAAACATGTGTGTTGTAGTGCCGCGCGCGAGTTTGGTGTAACTATCGGGGATACACACACGTTGGTGTTTAGGACACTCGAGAAGTTCACGGCAGTGATGAAGGAGATCGGAACTTCACATGTAGTTAACGTACAACTACTGAGGCACTACCGCCCGAATACTTGGCCGCTATAACGAGCCACGTCAAATTCAAAAGCAAGTTGTGGTAGCAGTTTGAAGCTTGTCGTCTAGGTGGTTCGAAATGCGTAACCGCAACCTTTACCCTCACAACACTTGAGCACTTACTGAGATGCCGCTTCAAAAGAAAGACACTGTTTTACCTTCTTGAGTTCTCGTTTCCTAGCTTCTTTTCCTGCAAAAGAGGAGCAAACCGAAAGCAGCCAGTTAGCTCTGCCCCGCTCACATCACGAGCTCTCAATCATAAAGTGAATTGTCTAGAGCGCAAAGTTTATAATGACCGAACCGGAAACATAATCGGATTACTAGTGCAACCAAGGTTTTCTTGCGATATGAGCGTCTTTTTTTTTTCTTTCGGTTTATGGGATGTTAACCGCGAAAGTTTCTCTAAGATGCGACAAGCATCGTTGATGAAGTCGAACGTTGGTAGACACAGCCGCAAAACAGCTGATCGTATGAAAAGCAAACATTCATTCGACTAAAAAAATGACATCTTCTCAATTGCAGCCTAAGGTAAGCGAAGCTCAAACACTAAACTTCTCCAAGAACATTACAATGAACGATTGTTGCCGGGTTGCAGCGGTGCGACGATGTGCGCCAAGCAGCGAGCGTTATTAGTTCATAGAGCACGTACTTGCTTGATCCGTGGGGTTCATGTATTTCCCACTCTTCGTGGTGTTTATGGATCTTCGTCCCATCTTGCTCGGTTTGCGTGAGAACTTGAGAGAAACCTCGGCGAGAACCGCTGCTCAACAAACACGACTCACACACACACACGCACGATTTCACACATACGCTAAAAAGCACCATGAAAACGGTGAGCCATTCGTATAACACACCGCTAGCCAACAACAACTACCGCTGCCTAGATCCTACCGTGCTTCCAATATACTCATTTAACACAATACTCAATACAAATAAGTTTAGTCGCAATTGTTCCACTCAAACTTTAAATTTATATTACAGTTATTGAACTAAAAAAATATTGAGTAACTTTATTTGCAAAAGTGTCAACCAGCGACTATGACGTCGTTGGTTGTGGTGCTCGCAGTTTAGTAGTATGCTGCCTACGCTGCAGTTATGCTAGTGATTAAGTTTTTAATCTTTTTAGACACAGAGGGGCTTTTGCCTGTGGGATATGCTACGCGCCGGAGGTTTTCGATTACTGATTATGTGCGTGCATGCTAAAAGAACCATGTAAAAAAGAGGGTGTCTTTTCAGTTCCACAAATACACTATAAAAATGGAGTATTTAGAGAGTGTATATATCTGTTACACAACAATAATCGTTATCTAGTTAGATAACTTTCCTCGCGTTATCACCACGGTTCCGGTAGATCGCGGTCGCGAACGGCGCGCGCGTTATAGTGGAGATCAGTGGTCTGACATAGAGTTAGGGTGGCTTGAAGGCACTTGAAGGGGAGGTGTGATGACCGGGCGGCAAAAGTTGGCTGTCGTTCGCGTGAATGCCGTAGAGCGGCGCTGTCGTCGGGGGCAAGAGGGTTGCGGTAGGGGCGTTCCCAGGACGCAAGCTGGAAGCAGTCATGAGGCAAGCGAGCGCAAAGCTCAAAACGACAGCTGATAGACGAAACCTCGTGATAATTTCAGGCGGTTTAAACGATGTCCTCAATGAAGATGCAGAAGTACTAGCAGCCACACTGGCGAAAGGCGTCGATGACATGCGCGCCACTTCTCCTAAGGTACAGGTAGTTATATGCACGATACCGGAGGTACCGGTGCGTGATAGCAACCTGCAAAGAGCGGTGGTCAACGCAAACCAAGAGATATGGCGGATGAGTCGAGAGAAAGGCTTTGAGGTGGTGGAAATAAACAGAGAGGTGCATAGGTGGGGGGGTTTTCAACGAGACAGAATTCACTTCGATGGGCGGCTAGGTCATGAGGTGGGTTGGCGACTTGCAGGACGCGCAGTAGCTTTTTTGGGGGGCAAGCGAGCCCTTCGGGGTGCAGGATAGCTAGTAACGAGGAAAACAACCAGGGAGACTCTTCGACAGCTGGTATGGACAGATACGATTCCAAAGTGGCACCAATATCTAAGATAGGTAGAGTCCGGGGCATAAATAGACGTAGCCACGAGCGCCGAGCCAATTCAGACATGGGGTATATTAACATGCAGGGTGGTAGGAACAGGCTGAAGTGGGAAGAGATAGAAGAACAGCTAAGGGAAGAGAGGCCGATGGTATACGGTTTTGTAGAAACACATCTCAGGGACATGGAACAACCTCCGAACAATCCGGACTACGCGTGGGAATATTGTAACAGAACAGAAGGCAGCAGAAAGGGGGGTGGTATTGGGGCATTCATTCATAAAAGTACAGACTGGCAAAGGGTCAAGCAGGAGTGCAAGGAACATTTATGGCTAAAAGGGAAAGTGGCAGGTCAAATGACACTCCTTGGTTTCGTGTACTTGTGGACGGGAGCAAAGGCCAGAGAGGAAAACCAGGCAATGGTAGAGTGTATATCAAAGGACATTCAGGAGTTAGGAAGAGAGTGCGAGATAATTATACTAGGAGACATGAATGCGCACATAGAAGATATAGATGGGTATACCGACCCGACAGGCAAAATGATCATGGATATGTGTGAAAGGCTTGATTTGATCATTTGCAACAGTACCGAGAAGTGTGAAGGGCAAATAACATGGGAGGTAGGAAGGCTTCAGTCGACGATAGATTATGCACTGATGTCACATAGGATGTATGATAAGCTCAGGGGAATGCACGTAGATGAAGGTGGCTCCAGAAGTCTGGGTAGCGATCACAAACGTATCAAGCTAAGTTTTGGAAGAGCAGTGAAAGTGGGAAGGAGACAAGATGAGCAACTACAGGAAAATTTTTATCCAGAAAGGCAAATTGAAATAGCCACTAAACAAATTGAGAAAGTAATCACGGAGGATAACAAGACAGTGTGGACATACACGAATCTAATTAGACTCTTTGAGCTAGAGCTTGTTAAGACGCGTGACCAATCACCCCGGAAAAGAAGACACAAACCCAAAAGTTGGTGGGATGAGGAAGTTAAGAGAGCCATAGCAAAACGTCAGGAAGCCTCTAGAGAACACAGACATGCTAAGCAGCGGGGTGAACCGACAGATGATGTTGAAAGAAAATGGGCAACCTTTCTAAGCTGTAGAAGGGATGCATCCCTTCTGATCAATGAAAAGATTAGAAGGAAGGGAGCTCAGTGGCTGGCAGAAGTACATAAAAAAGATAGAAAGGCAGCTGCGAAATTTTGGAACCATCTAAACTCCCTAAGAAATGAGACGAGCCTAGAGCAGAGTTTTATAACTACAGCCCAAGGTGCTAGGCTAGAAGGGGACGAAGCTATTGAATATATAAGAACAAGGGTGACAGAAAAATTTCAACAAAGAAGTACTTTATGCACCACAATAGACAAGGACGAATCAGGTGGTGCAATGGCTCCATTTTCACAACAAGAGTGGGAAAGGGCTGAGAAAAGGGTTCCTAGTAGTACATCAACAGGCCCAGATGGCATTCCAATTAGGCTGATAAAGACATTAGGTCCGAAGTCTAAGCAGGCTTTGAGAGAGGCAGTGAGCAAAATAATAATCGATGGTGAAGTTCCCAATGGATGGAAACTTAGCAGGATGAGCATGATCTATAAAGGAAAGGGGGAAAAAGCTGACATAAACAACTACCGTCCTATAACAGTGACATCAGTGGTCTACAGGCTGGCGATGCAAATTATAAAGGAAAGACTGCAGGCGTGGATAGAGGATGAGGGGGTGCTGGGGGAACTGCAGAATGGGTTTCGGAAACACAGGAGGTTGGAAGACAATCTGTTCTCACTGACGCAGTGCATCGAAATAGCAGAAAAGGAACACAGGCCCCTGTGGCTAGCATTTTTGGATATCAAGGGAGCGTACGATAGCGTGGTTCAAGAGGAATTGTGGGGAATACTGGACACACTAGGCGTGGAACATGTAGTCACTAATCTTTTAAAGGGTATCTATAAAGGTAACAAGGTAGTTATAAAGTGGGAAAAACAGGTGTCCAAGCCTGCAGAGGTAAAACGGGAGCTTAGGCAGGGGTGCCCCCTGTCACCCTTATTATTCATGATGTACCTACAAGGATTAGAGGCAAAATTAGAGGGAAGTGGACTGGGCTTCAACCTCTCTTTAGTCAAACAAGGAAAACTTATTGATCAGGCACTACCAGCATTAATGTACGCAGATGATATAGTGCTAATGGCCAACAACAAGGAAGATTTGCAGAGATTGATGGACATCTGCGGTAATGAGGGAGATAGGTTAGATTTTAGATTCAGTAAGGAAAAATCAGCAGTCATGATTTTCAATGACAACGAAGGTAGTGAGCTTAGAATACAGGAGGTCACGCTAGAGATAACAGATAAATACAAATATCTGGGCGTATGGATAAGCAATGGGACCGAGTATCTGAGGGAACACGAAATATACGTGACGACTAAAGGTAACAGGAATGCAGCAGTCATGAAAAATAGGGCACTGTGGAATTACAATAGGTATGATGTTGTGAGAGGAATATGGAAAGGGGTCATGGTTCCTGGGCTGACGTTCGGCAATGCGGTCTTGTGCATGAGATCAGAAGTTCAAGCAAGATTAGAAATTAAGCAACGTGGAATAGGTAGGCTTGCTTTAGGAGCTCACGGGAATACACCAAATCAGGGAGTACAAGGTGATATGGGATGGACATCATTTGAGGGCAGGGAAGCTAGCAGCAAGATAAAATTTGAGAAACGATTGAGAGAAATGGGGGAAGAGCGTTGGGCTAGGAAGGTTTTCAGCTACTTGTACATGAAGAATGTCGATACAAAATGGAGGAAGCGAACCATGAAGTTGACTGGTAAATACTTAGAAAACAGCAGGTGGCCAAACCAAAAAGAACTATCGGTTAAGAAGAAAGTGAAGGAAACGGAGACTGACATGTGGAGAATGGGCATGATGAAGAAGTCCGCACTAGAGATCTATCGAACTTTTAAGCAGGAAATTGCCAAGGAAAGGATCTATGATAATACTCGGGGTAGTTCTCTACTGTTTGAGGCCAGGACGGGAGTACTGCGAACCAAGACATATCGGGCCAAATACGAAGGGGTAGACACAGTATGCAGTGCGTGTGGAGAGGAAGAAGAAACTGCCGAACACTTGATAATGTTCTGTAAAGGGCTTCACCCTATAGTTCAGGATGATGGCGCAGAGTTTTTCAAAGCACTGGGGTTTAGGGACCGGGAGGGCAAAATAAACTTTAAGCGGGTAGACTTAACCAGAAGGAGGTTATCTGATTGGTGGCTAAAGTCAAGACACGAGTGAAAATTAAACTCTTCACTGCAAAGTACGAATCCTCAAACTCACTTTTTAAGGAAAAAAACATAAATATAGTTTTTGGTTCATTAGGTGTTACGGCTTGGTGGCGCTAGCCACCGCCCGATTTAAAGGGTACAGCCATATCCATCCATCCATCCCAAGGAGGTTATACTAAAACTTCTGGAGTGGCGGTCCCGCATAGCCGCCAATGTATCGAAGTGAAGCCGCGGCGGCCATGTTGCTCAGGGCAGAAGGCGGTGGCGGCTGCCTTGTAGCGCCGTAATGCTGTGGTCGCTGGCAGCCGTGCGTTTCGTTAGAGCTACTAAAGCACCGGTTTATTATTTTTAGGCAGCGAGGGAACGTGGGAGTGACTCTAATGCATATATGCTTTAATTTTTCTTTGACACTTAGCGTTTTAGGCGTGTTTAAAAAAGAAAAAAAAAAAGCCAGGCATGCACGGAACGCGCAGCACAGTCGCACCTACAGCTAGAAAAGCAGTCTTTC